GTCGACACTAAAAACGGCCCTTTTCAGGGTCATTATCCGTACAAACCTTTCCTGCGCACTTACACAAGTGTCCGCTGGTAAAGTGATCACGGTCGATACACTCGTTTGCTTAAGTCTGTTGTCGACTGTGTATCCAATTTTCTATCGCATCTGCTCAGGACCAATACCGCTTGCCGCGGTCGCATATTCGAACCAGCCGCGCGGCCCGGAATAATTTTATTAAATGTATTACTTTTATTTAATGTTAAATAAATAACTTGATATTTATTTCGTGAATATTTATAAAAAGATCCGGGTGTCGGTAATCCCGGCACTCCGTTTCAACATGTAAAGACAATGGTATGTACCTATAAACATAATTTTATTAATTTGTTTTTCCTCCATTTTTATTAACAAAAAATATCGTAGGAAATCATACCCCCCTCGAGGTACAATATTCCTAGTAATTTCTTATCGGGAAGTAAAATTATTCTAGAGTATTCTTACCGGGGGGTAAAACTTTCCTAGGATAATCGAACCCACTAAAGGGGGAATAATTAACCTAGGATAATCTTACCGGGGGTAACTATAACCTAGGATAATAGTACCGGGGGTAAAATATGCCTTGGAAAATCTTACTTTCCCATCGGTAATATTTTCCGGGGGTATGATTTGCACTCTCATTTAAGTTTAAAACGATGTTTACTAAAACTATTAGGCTATAGTGCATATTAGGATATAACAATGTATTGTTATTTGAAATATGAATTAAATATTAAAAATTGTGTCTTATAACAATAATTTATATTTATAAATACTTCGCAATCGCGATAAAATAAGTACGTTAAAATAGGCTTAGTTTCCTGATGCCTGAAAACTGATGGAAATATAATTTATATTATAATTTTAAACATTATTTATGTACTAAAAAAAATATAAGAAATATTATTAAGAACATTATACTTTACATTATAACAAAAAATGAATACTTTAATGACAAAAGAAAAAATTAGAAGGTGTATTCAGAAATCTAGAGACTACTTACGCAGAAGAAACAAAAAACAAATAATTAAATAATGATAAAAAAATTACTAATACTATTAAATTTATAAATTTAGAGTATTAATAATTTAAATGTTTTGTATTAACAACAATTTATTTTAATTATGAAAAGTATTAACCGATGAAATACTAAGGTCTGTTAAAGTTGAAAAAGTTTTTATAAACCCTCATTTAAGTTTCAAAACGATTTTTACTAAAATTATTACTCTATAGTGCATTCTAGAATATAACTATCTACAAATATAACAATATATTTTTATTTGAAATATAAATTAAATATTGAAAATATACTACATTTTACAACATCAAAATCATATTTTTAAATATTTTTCAGTCGCGATAAAAGAAGTAAGTAAAAAAAGTTTCCTTGTGCCTGATGACCGGGAAATATATAAATTATGTCATAATTTTAAACATTATTTATGTACTGAAAAAACATAAATAAATGTATTAACAACATTATATTTAAATTGTTAATAAAAACGAATACTTTAATAACAAAAGAAAAAATGAAAAGGGATCTAGAGATTACTCATGCAGGTGAAACACAAAAATATGTTTAATAATAAAAAATAAATACCAATTCAAATAAATTGAAATTTAATTTATAAATTTAGAATATTAATAATTTAACTAAATAAAGAAAGGAGAAAAATGTATTTAAGTAATGGAAAAATATTATTTACATAACAAAAAATACTTAATTATTTTAAGTAAAATAAGGTTATTTAATGGATTAAATATAAAAAAATTAAGTCGAAGCCTAAAAACATAAATTTGATCAATTTTGTTATAATTAAAGTTGTTATTCAAAATAAAAACGATGTACCTATATTCCTGGGAGTAAGTAGATAAGTAATTGTCACTAGTAAGTTTATTTCACTTTTAATCGGCTCCTAAATTTCGGCTGTTTACTCTAATAAAAAGAAAAAGAAATAATAATTAATTTTTTTATTTTATTAGTATTAATATATATATAATGGGCAAGAATTATAAAAAACATATTTTGTAAGAATGACAATTATTAACAAACGTGAATAGAATAAGACAAGTAATATTAGACATAGGTTATCTGTCTCATCATCCCGTCGGAGTTACTTGAAAAATGAATGCCATGTATATTCAAAATTTAAAATTTTTCAATTCATAATTTATATTTTAAATTATATCGTTTTAGTAGAAAGTTAAGTAAATCATATTTTATTTCGTACGTTTGTTGCACTGATAAAATTAGATTATATTTATTAATTGTTAATAAGTCATTATCGGTGGTATCACTAATTCTAAAATCTAATATAAATATACTTATACACTTTTATGAGCATATTATGTTTTTTTTTTTTTTACAAGGTATTAATTTCTAATTCAGTTTCATCCCTAATAAATGGCCTCTTGAAATGGCTTGACCCACAATTCCCCGACTCTGGATCCGCCCCTGGTAAATACCTTAGTTTTTCTGTATCAATTTGATTGATTAAAATATTAATGAACTCACGTTACATATGTTTAAAAATTAATACATATTAGAATTTAAATTACATTTTGTTGTCTTATGGTTAATTATTTAAAATTTATTATTATTATTACATATTTATATTCTATTGTTTGCCTTTATTTAATTATATAATAATTATAATATAGTTAATTTCTAATACCTCTAGTACTTACTACTTACCAAGTTTGTATTAATATACTATGACTTTGAAAGTATCCGTGTTATTAAATACATGTGTATTTCAAAATACCTGAAAATCCGTGTAATGTTAAATACACGGGTTAATACACGTGCTTCATAATTACACGTGTATCCGTGTATTTAAGTACACGTGAAATAGTAAGCCCTAATTCGTATCCACTATCATGCACGTATGATAGTGCGAGAGCCACTATGGTAATAGCTTGATAGTCACTATCGATCTGTTCACATACTGATAGATACCTGTTAAATAACCATCAATACATAAATACATATATTTATTTGAACAAATAACAAAAATAAAATATGTTTTCTATAATTTTTGAAGCAGTTTCAAGTTTAATTATAAAATTATACAATAGGTAAACAGTATGAATTATGACTTGATATAGAATTAATAACTAGGTACAATTTTAAACTTGCAATATTTTTTCAATAAGTCAAAAATATTAATTATTTAATGATAATAATGCCAAAATTTAAGTATGTTTATTACCTAGGTATATAAAATATACATGTAATAATATTAACATAATTATATACCTTATTCAGTAAAAAATTGAACATTTCTTCATCCATTCTCAGAAAATTATGGTAGCTCTTAGTGTCTTCAGTGGCAAGTTATCTCAAGAGACAATTTGATGCCCTAAACTACGTCTTCGAAAAATCCAATTTTTTACCCATTTTCTATTTTTTTTTGAATTTGTTCTTTTAATGGCAATTATTTCCTCGATAACGCGAATAATTCTGAATATCACTTCGCCGAACATCGTGATAAAATTTATATAAAGTTACAATTGATTTTAAAAACTTTAATTCAAATTATACATTTTTATAAACATATACAACTATCTATCAACTATCATGTATGATAGTATACCCACACTATCATTTTGTGGTGTAGGGATTCTTCACTTTCATGGCAGTAACAATTTCTCGATAGTAGCTTTCACGATAGAAACTATCACATTTTACCATTACCGTGTGACCACGGCTTAACATACGAAAAAGTGAACTACTACTAATGCTCAAGGCGGTTGTTAATTGGAGTTACAATATTATAATATGCCTATATCCTGCCAAAATATTAAATTATTGAATATTCAATTATAAATCATTAATTATTATTATTATTATTAATCAATTGTATTTTGGCACTGAGTAAGTAATCTTACTCCACGACACGAGGTTTTACCTCAGTGTGGAGTAACTTCTAGTAAAATTTCACGTATATTGTATATTATCTATATCTTCTTGTTACTAGAATTAAATATATTATATTATATTATTATTTTTATTATTATTATTAAAAAAATATATGTAATTGAGTTAATAACTAAATTATAATCACGATTCACTGCTCTCGTGGTCTATATATATGATTATTTTATGTCGAAATCTCATCACTATTCACTGTAGTCTGTGTTTGGTTATGGGTATTGTGAATTTTCTATTACGTTTATTATACGCTGTTGATCTAGTTAATTTAAAAACAAGAAGTTTTCTAACACATCTTAATCATCAAATCTACATAATAATAAAGTTTTTAGAAACCAGCTTTTCAAAATATGTAGATTCAATTAATGTATTTGAAGAAATATATGAAGATTTTTTTCAAAATTAAAAATCTGCATTTGAAATGGGAATGTGCCAAACATAGGATTAAAATATTTTCTAATATTTTTATTTTATTTATTACTATGCGGATGAGGCAGCATAGCTACGCTAAAAAAATTGAGTGTAAAAAATTAAATCGTACAAAAAAAAATTGTCAAAAGTAGTTACTTCTTAAATTAAATGTTATTACTTACTTTAATAGATTAAGAAATTAATTTAAAATTAAAAAAAAAATAAATAAATATTCAATTTATTTAGTCTTGAATTTATATTATATTAATAATATTATGTTTTCTTTTTTAATTGTTAGAGAATTTAGAACCATATAATTACCAGTTAAATCCAGAAAAGGTATATTAGACTTTATATATATTAAGAATAAAAAATATTAATTTTTACAATAAGCACTATGGACGAATTAAGTGGTTTTAAAAAAGTAAATAAATAAAAAAATTTAGTTTTGTGAATTGTGACCATCCATTGATGAATCTTCATAGCATTTATTTTGTTCCTGTTTTTTTTTTGTAACTTTTGTGAACACAAAAATACAAAATAAGAATACAATTTTTATGATGTTTACATAAGCAACTAGATAGCGCTATAATGTAACTTTTAACAGATTTCTGATAAGAACAATTGATGATCACAAAATAATGACTCGTGCAACCATTCTATCTTAATCCGTGCTTTACACCCTTACTTATCTTTCTTTAAACAATTCAATGCTCACTACCTATCTCCGCCTGTGATTCTATTACATTCAATATTTATATTTTTGGTATTTTCAAAACGTTATTGATTGTTAACAAACGATGAGTTATTAAAACTTTTATTTTGCAATTGAGCACCATCCAGTTTATAGTATAGTTTATTTATCCAGTAACTGCTGCATAAGACAAGTGAGTCGATGATCTAAAATACAATTTTAGCATTTAATTTTACAATTAAATTGCTCTGAATAACCTCCAATTCTTTACGTCAGCTTGTATTGTCTTTAACTGTGTACCATTCTCTTTCAGAGCGGTTTCTAATCACAGTGTTTCGATATGAATCATTCTTTACCCTTTAAATGTGTGCTATACATCAACTGTTCGAAACGTAGTACATTCCGGGGTATTTATTGTATAGCTCGGCGTTTCAAATCAGATGACTCTCCACCTGATGATAAGGACAAATCACAAAAGAATCAAATAGCTATTAATAAACTAAATGAGTTGTTGAAATCCATGAAAAAAGGCAATGACTCTGAAATAATTCCTACCATTTCCAATCCCATTAAATTGTCACAGCCAAGAGAATTAGCAAGAAAAGTGGATCAAAGTCAAGAAAATCATGATAAATCAAAGAAAAACATACAGTTGGGTGAAAAGTTGGCTGATGCTGCTACTTCAGTTGCTCAATCAATAGGAGGTAATACTGAGAAAACTGAATCAGAACTGTTAAATTTATTAAGAATTTACAATAGTGAACCTAATGGTTTGTCAGAAAAAAAGTCACAAACTTCTGCCCAATTAAGTGATCTTATTTCTGGAATGAAAATTGATCGTAGCCGACCAAATACTGTGTCTTCAGAATTGGGAAATGTAACTAAAGCCCAACGAGTAAGAGAACTGATTGGAAAAGATTATAATCAAGATCTTAATAAAAGATATAACAATTATAGAAAACCAATGGATAATTATATACCCCTCAATTTATTTAGCAGTGAACCTCTTAATATATTCAAGAACATAGACTTAAAAATAAATGATTTAAAATTGAATACATGGGATGGATTAGACAAAAAATGTTTAGAAATGGCAGTTACAAATCCACCAAAAAATATTTATGAACAAATGATAATGTGGACAAAACAAGGAAAATTATGGAATTTTCCAATAGACAATGAGCAAGGAATGGATGATGAAAAAAACATTTTTTTTGCTGACCACGTGTTTTTAGAACCACTAATTGATGAATGGTGCCCAAAAAAAGGACCAATTAGACATTTTATGGAATTGGTATGCGTTGGTTTATCCAAAAACCCTTTCTTAACTATTGAAGAAAAACACGATCATATTAATTGGTTTCGACAGTATTTCTATGAGAAAAATCAATTATTAAATGAAGTCGGTGCTTTTCAAATTAAGTCATTGCCAGAAAATGTCAAGGAATATTACAAGCCTTCAATTCCAGAAGAATAGATTAAATTAATTATAATGTAGATCATTGAAGTACACATTTTATCTAAAAAGTAGTTATGTTATTTAATAAATTTAAAACATTAAACTTTTTGTGAATAAATAAATAAATTTAACTTACATAAATGTTTCAAATATTATAAAATTTTAATTAATACCATTAATTCAGAATAAAAATACATATAACAATAATCTTAATATCTATAATTGTATGACTTAAATTTTATAATATGATTCCAACATTTATTTATACACACTTATATATTTAAAACCTGTTTAAAAATGATAAAACATGCATTAATTTGATATTAATTAATTATATAAATTTGAATATAGTTTCAGCAAATAATTTAATCAAGATTGTAAACGCTAAACATTTAGTTATAATAGGTCATTCAAAAGCACTTTTAACAAAAAATGTCATGATTTATATTTAATTATTTTACTGATAAAAATATGTGCTTAGTGGTTAAAATAATTTATATCTTATAAGGTATAACAAAAATTATGTTTTAATGACAGTTAAGGTTTTTTTGTATGCCATCCCTGACACTCTATCATGATTGTCGGAATACAAACTATGTTTTGATTACAAGATATTTATAACCTCAAACTAAAATATACCTTACAGCCTTTATAATACCTATATAATAAAATCAATGCTTAAAGTATATCTTAATCTTAGCTTATAACTTAATATTAGGTTCTATTAAATAAATAGGTAAAAAAAAACTTTAATTATTATCTAGTAAATATTATGCTTAAAAATTATTTTACCTATTGAATATGGGAACATTGCTAATTTCATTATGAGCAAATTCTTCAGTGATCACTTTCCAAAATATTGGCTTGTTTAAGGTATGTAAACTTATTTTCATAATTTTTATAGGACTTCAAGTTATTGATTTTTGATAGATCAAATTCAAAGGTCCCATTTAAATATAACAGAGTATGAATTTAGAATACCAACTAATTATAAAACAAATTTAAGTTCAAAATAAACAATAATGTGCAAAGTGTTTTACTTGTCTTCAATTTACAGTCAAATTTTTGTACTAGAACTCTAAGTTTTAACTCTAAAACTCTAGTTTTTAGAACCTGATTTTAACATCAATTTACTAAAAAAAAATTTTTATTATATCATTAATCTAAAAATAACCAACAAGTGTTTTCCATTATAAATTAATGGCTGCAAACATGACTTGATTGTTTTAGGAGGTCTGTAAGTATTCTGTGCTACTAACATATCTAATTAATGTCTTCATCTTTGACTATAACCATTGATTATAAATACTATGGATTGTATTTATGATCAATAGTTAAATGTTGTCTGATATGTATTTCGTCCATTATCTAACTTCAAATTTATAGATGAACTTCAAAGAGTTATGTGAGGTAGAAGTTATTACATTTTTCTTCAAATTTTGTAGGGACATAGAACAGGGGAGATTAAAGAGTCTGAAAGTTGTTAAGTATAGTTCAGCTTTCGATAAAGTTATCTTAAAAAAAAACATGTACCACCTATAACGACACCGGTCGTAACGGCATAAGAGTATAACGACGTTAATAACAAGTACTTGGCAAAATTCCATTTATTTTAACATACAAAATAACTGGTTGTAACGACATGGACGTAACGACAATATCGGCTAATACGACTTAAAAATCGGTCGGCAACACACATTTTAATCGTATATAACGACTGTATATTATTTTTTTCACAAATGATTGTCTAATATTATCGGTGTAATTACCTACAGATAGGGTATCTACTATCTTCACATAGTTATTGTGTAATGTATTACTATATTAGCTGCTTTCATACGTTTTTAAAATAGCATTTAAGCTTTTAACAAGATAGAAGTGTAATACACATTATAGTACATATAATGAGATATTACCACAAATCTACAACTATTGGTTTGATATTTTAGTTATGTTAGTGCCGTTGAACGTGTTTCATTAAAACGTTAAACTGAATAAGCGAAAAAAAATTTCTGTCAAAGAAAAAGTACATATAATTTTTCGTTTGAATAATAATAAAAAAAAACAGTAATATTGCGACTAATTTGGTGTAAGCCATTCTGCGATATCTACAATATGGAAAAATCGTGATAAAATAAAACGAGAATTCGAGTGCGAAATTCGTGGTAGTGACCACGAAGATATTGATAATACTTTATTAAAATGGTTTAAAACACAACGAAGTTTCAATATACCGATTAATGGACCGATTCTACAAGAGAAAGCAGACGATTACAAGCCTATAGTGCCCTAGTATAGTTGGGTAACTAAGTCTTTGATTTGTGAAAGTGTTAGATGACTGCAGTGTGACCAGTCGCAGTTTTCAAAATAACAGAAGCATATTCAACTTTTAGCTCGTCAATAGTGTTTACGTTTTCTATTATCAAATTTCCTCTTTTGGTCGTGGCGTAGTTTTGTCGGTTATGTGACAACGGTATAAATATATATTTACGTAATTTAAATTTTTGTGTTTCACCGTAATAATAACGTTTTATTCATTCACACTTTATGTAAGTGTAATAGTATTGTAGAAAAATGTATTACTGCGTATTTTTTGGAATCTCACGCAATATTTAAATTTATAGTACTAGCATTTTTTTTCTTATTATACTATTAGAACATAATATAATTATTTTTTGTATACACAATTTTTTTGTTTTCAATTCATACCTAGGTACTTTATAATTAATTCCATATATACTATTGCATCGTAATAATTGTTAATTAGATTTCAAAATGGGCTCAACAACTGAAGATCAACCAATGGTAACTGAAGAATCACTAAATGAAACAACGAACCCTAATAATTTTCAGTCATCTGTCAATATGGATATCAGTACAGCATTTAAGAAAATAGCAACCAAGGATCCTACTAGGTATACAGATCTTTGTGAAGCAGTTAATAAGACATTTGAAGAAGTTAGCGATAGCATTAGGTAAAAGTTTAGTTTTAATTATACAGTATAATCTATGAAATAAAAGTATATACTTTATGTATTAATATATAATAATTAATTATTATTTTTTAGTCCAGAAGAATTTAAAAGCATTTTGGGAGATATATCATTTTTAAGAAGCAAAAAAAATGCAACAAATTTACTGTCTACTTTAAAGACACAACTTTACAATAATATGAGTAATAATTTTGAAAGAATTGTAGAGGACGAAAATTTATGCGAATTATTTGAAGAAAAAAGTTCACTGAATGAAGAAATTGCAAAGTATGTTTTCCTTCATTGTGGTCATTAATATGTTTTAATTGTATATTCTATTAAATATTGCAAATTTTCAAAAAAAATTATTTTAAAATTATGTCTCAGCAGTGTTGCCTTCCAGCACAGATTTAGAGTGAGAACTGTTTAAATTACTGTTGCGTATCATCAGTTCAACTGTCGTGATGTTTAGTATAGTAGAGAATGCTTTAAATAATAATTTAATTTTAAATTTATAACTGTTTATTATAAAATATTCTAAGTTCAAGCATTAGTTGTGAAATAACACGTACTCGTATAATCATAAATCCAAAACAATTAATTTATTAGGTAAATTAACTGGCGTGAAGGTGCTTGCTACCAGTGGCTTATATAGGGGGGGGGGCCTAGTGGGTTATAGCCTTCCCCCTCTCAAAATGTTTTAAATGTTTTAAAAACTTAAAAATTATTTTAAACATATTTTATATTTTAATGGTGCTTAATGCTTATTTAGAATTTGCGTCCAACGTCAAATCGTTACAGGAAATTTTGTAAATGAAATATAGTTAAGTACCTACTGTGTCTTGTTAGTAATTTTTAGATAGCAGTAGTAATTCTACTTTGTCTATAGTAGCCCCTCCCAAAAATATTTTCTGTATACACCACTGCTTGCTATAACTGGATTAAAACACATCTGAATATTGTGAGAAGTTTAAATATTGTGAAAAATATATGTTCATCACTTTTGCTGAGTGTATTTGATTGCTTTTGATTTCAGTGCAAGTACTAAATTTGTTTTCATCCTCAGATCAATCCCCGATTTCCTTATGAAGAAATCATTTTTTTCAGTAGTGAAATCCAAGAATTAGGAATGTACTATTACAAGAATTATTTTTTAATAAAAACAATATTAGTTTGAGGCTTCAATGAAACCCCACATAATATGAAACTTTTGAATGGCATAATAGGATATTATTTGTTGTATTTTTTAGAGTTATTATCAGTTATGTTAATTTAAGAACATATCATTTTACTAGAATATACTATTAACAAACGTTTCTAGAAATATCTTGGTCTATTGCACTTATCTTTAATTTATGGCATGGAGGCTTATATATAGGCTATATACTACAACAACTAATTACATTTTTATCTGTATTAGAAAATACTTCATTGATAATGATGCATTAGAACTTGTTGAATTAGAAGAGTCTTTGTGTAAACTTGATGTACAAATTGCTGAACTAGAAGAAACAAATGAAGTTTTGTTTAATCAAAATGAATTCAACAAACAACGATTTGAACATTTATCACAAAGAATAAACAAACTAATAAGTGAGTCTAAGACTAAATACAGAAGCTGTGAACAACAATCTAATACATTAAAAAAAGGACTAAATGACATGATGACAAAAGATCAATAAATATATTGAAAAATCAATTCAGCATTAATAAAACTAAACGAAACCGTGTAAACAATGTAATTTATGTCGAGTGTCTCTTATTTTAATTTGAAATGTATGGATAGATATTGAAGTGTCATCCATCAATATTGTAAGTTAATAATAATTACTTTTTTTTTTTTTGGTGTTTGCTTATGCCTTCTAATCACTTTTTCCTCCTAGTTCTTCCACGTCCTTCTTCACTACATCTTCCCATCTAATTTTTGTCTTTTTATGAGTCTTTTTCCTGTAGGGTTCTTCTCCAATACTGTACAAAGTAATGGGTTTTGGTTTCTCCAGGCGTGTCCTGCCCATTGTAGTCTCTTATTTCTTATTATACTGTTACTTCTATAATATAGATTTGTTTATTGTACAGTTTTTAATTTCTATACTAAGTGTATTTTCTTATGATGAACAATTTATATTAAATTAGCTGGACTAGCTTTGTAGCCTGTTAAAAAGACAAAAAAAAAATAATGACTAGTGATGTGTCTGTTCATATATTTAAATAAACCATTACCTCTGATAGTTGGCTTAAAATTTTAAATTTCAAATTGAAAATATTTGAACCAAACTATTTAGTAACTGGTACAATTCAAAAATTAAATTTGAAAATATTTGTTGGACTGAATTTGCTGTACATTACAGTGCAAAGTTAAAATTAAAATAAAATTTCATTTGATATACTATTAACAATATTCTTGGCAGTAGTTTTGTTGATAAAACCAGTTTATAAATGTTGAATTTTTATATTATACATACATAAATATATGAGTTTGGATACATTAAGATAACCTAAAAAATTACATACTTTACTTCAACAGTGTATTAAAAATACATAGTTTATATTTGATTGTTAAATCCAGTAAATAGGTATTTACTTTCTCATATGTGTGTTAAAACTAAATATAAAATAATAAATTACCTATTTAATTAAATGTTAATACATGCTACATAGTCTTTTTAATATTATTTTATTGTTATTGCTTCTATTTTATAAAAACTTAACATTTTATTTTCAATAATAAAAATACTTGTAATTAAGTCCATTAAGTGAAAAATGAAGATTGAGGTTGACTATAAATGTCCTTAGTTTGATTCAGATTTGAAAAAATTGTCCGAATTCAATCAAATTTCAAGTCGGGGTTTAATTTCTCACTATAACATTTCATAAAATTATAGAATACTGTTATACAAAATGTGGATATAAATGAATAGATTTTCATTTTCATATCATTTTTATAGTCACAATTTAATTTACACATATAGTTCCTACCCATTTACAGCCACCAGTTGTTTTACAGTTGAGTCTCTAATTTTGTTGATTGCATTACATTAATAACAATAAATTATTATTATTATGAGTGTTAAAAAGAAATATTAATACTATTAAAGAAATAATTTTTTACAAAAAGAATGGTAAAACAAATAAATTTATTTTATGAACAATTTTTTTTTTTAAAAAAAAAAAGAAAACTAAAATTATTTGACTAATTTTTATCCAAATAATGTATACAATACAACAAAAAAAAAAAAAAATAGTTATTCAAAATGTATCACAATAGGTTGAAAACCAAGATGTATTATAAGGTGTCCTGCACCAATGACATAAGCTCATCTTTCAAATATGGATGTTCTTGATCATTGTCAGGTGGATCATTAGTAAATAGTAAAACAGAAGTAGGGACTAAGCTCAATTCACTTAATGTCATATTCTCGTCATCATGACTAAATGTACGTCCACCAAAAAGTTTCAATTTGAATGGTCGTTCTTCATCAAATACACTCTCTTTTACAAATTCTAATACATCAGAAAAATGCTCATTGACACCAAATGTTCCCTAATGAAACAATAAGAATAAAATAATAAGTTTAACATTTAAAATGTTTAAATATAAATTTACTTGTAAAATTAAACAGTCTGGATACTTCACTCGAATTAAACAGTATTTATAATTTGATTGGGACTTATTTTGTTCTTTCATCCGCATATTTTTTGTTTTGAGAATCATATCATTTTCCAGTTTTGCAGCCCTAAAAATGAAGTACATACAATTTAATAATTTCACCTAAACATCTATTGATTTAAATATTTTCAATATGTTTAGGGAAGTATTCACAAACATTACCCAGCACTAAATAAATGTGAATCAGTATTTATATATATTTATAGACAGTGGTTGCATGAACTTTTTTTATTTCATGGGGTACAAATAAACTACAGGAATGGTTTAATCTCATGTATTTTAATAATTTATATTGTTACACTAAATAATTAAGTGTTTCCACAAGTTTTCAAATGTAAATATTCATTGATTGCATAATAAGCACTTTCCTATAAAATCTATGAAATATGTAAAAATATGAACATTAAAATTTTAGGTTTAGTATCATGGAATCGAGAAATTAATTTATTTCACACTTTGCTTTATTTTACAACAATTAACAAAAGTATGCAAATGCTATATTACAAACAAGTCTCGAACTCTTGTCATGAGACAATGACTTCATGAAATACTCTATAATACTATCAATGATTTTAAGTCACATGGAATATAGTTTCTCCAATTACAAAATGTGTTATACAAATTAAATTAAAAATTTCAAACAATTAAGTCAGAAACTCGATAAAAAAAATTATTTATTAATTGCCATATTTTTCAATTATCTCCAAAAATGTTTTATATAATTACCTTTTTTGATGTTCCATTTTTAATTCTGTAGTAGATAATGCAAAAAATTCTGGAGGTAAAGACACTTGTTTTGATGCTTGTGATGGTAGAAGAACTTGAACATTTCTATCCAAGACCAGCTGTATGCGTTCTGCTGATTGTAGATCATCAACAGTGCTTTGAACCAAGGCTAAATTATCTAAGCAATCTTCAGGAAAAACTAAGAAATCTTCTTCTTGGTCTTGGTACAATAGTGTTTTTCTCACAAACCCAATTGATTCAAGGAACTGAATTGCTCCTTTTATAGGCAACACTTTTTCCTTAAATGTTTTATTTATTAATCTAATTTTACGATATTTTTCTTCGTCTTTATTCCTAATTATATTTTCTGCATAAGTTACCAGTAACTTAATGCATTCTTCCACCTTTTCAATAGAAATGTTTAAGTAAAAATATTAATTATTGTATAAGTATTACTTTTTGGGTATAATTACCTTTGATCTATTATGGTTACAGTTTTGAATTAATAGGATTGATTGTAATATAGGGTCATCTTTCATCTGCTCTTTAATAAATTCTTCTATTTTTATATGCCATTCTCCTTCAGGCAAAACTTCCAAACCTAAAAAAGATTTATTTTCATAAAAGAATTTTTTTTCAGACTAATAATAAAAATAAAAATATACTTACCTATCATTGGACATTGAAAAAAAACCCCATTAGTAGCCAAAAGCCCAGGAACTTCAGAATTAACACTAGCTTCTTCTGAATGCGTGAATGTATCTTTATTTTCTTCATTTTTTTTTTCTGCCTCCATTTCTTTTCGAGCTCTTGACTTAATAGCAGCCAAAGAACTGAAAACAATTTCAATAATACAGTTAGTGTAATGGTTGAATATTCATAAAAATTAACTTACATATTTATTGGACCAGTGGTTGTCTTTTTATTCTCAAACCTAGCCAATGCAGCAGCTGCTGCTTGTTTGGCTTCATCAGTAGGTTCAATTCGACTAGTACGTGATGATTCACCAGCTTTTGCAACATTCTTTGGTGTAGTGTCTTCATTGAGACGATGACCTGGTCCAGCTCTTTTGAACTTGACATCAGCTTTCTTTTTTTGGAAAAATTTTTTCAGCTTTTCGCTCATTATATACGAGGCGTGTATGACTTAGGTAATTTTAACTGCGATACGTCCTCTTTCAATTCATCGACAATTGTCTCTGGAAAATTAGAGCGAAGAAATTAATAATGATTAAGTACTAAATGGCGCTTGCCCAACCAACCATTCAACAAGAAGCGCTCGTATATATCACTGCTATACTTAGACCAAATGAAAATTAACAACACAAGGAGCAGACACTCGAACAGCACCAGGAAGTTGAATATCTTGATCTGAAACTGATCGAAACTGACAAAGTTCAGCACACAGTACAGCACTTCGAGCACCACGATGCGCAGGTCGTTCAGTGAGAAACAGTCGTCGAGAACGGACAGCGTGTAAAGTTTGGTGAGTGTGGACAAACCGTGCAGACAGCCCACGGTGCTAGACGTGTCGTTCAACGGATTGACGGTTTGGTATTCTTCAAATTGCATCACAGCAACGCAGCCGCCAGTCGTCGTCCGTAGGGGACGCGAGACATTTAAAGAGGGAACGGACTAAAGTTTTAACTGAAAGCCGTGACTGTACAGACCAGCGACGACGGGTATCTCCGTTATCACAACGGAGTGTAGCGATCGCTGATAATAAGTTATTCAGCGGAGCGGGGTGGATAGAGCGTCCTCAACATTATTTACCTCCTGCAAAATCGAAACGCAGTGGATTACGTTTTCTACGGTTTCCGTGCTCGTATACGATTGGTAAACGACGTAGGTAAATGTCATGGTAGGCGTGACTACCATTACAGATGCAATGCGTTTAAATTATTATATCATATTGCTTGATAAAATAAACGGTGGCGCCGAAACTAAGGCGAAGTTGTAAAGCAAAACAATAAATATTTGTAATCCTCCTGGTAAAAATAATTATTATAATTGACGAAAATGTGGCTAATAAATGGAACCACTCTAAAACTTTATAGATATGGTTACCTTATTTTATTTGGTAAAAATCGGGGCAAACATTTTTTTTAATGATTTTTATGGAAAATAATCGGACCCATTATATTGTTACATTTGTATAGCCTACACAATTGGAAACGTATCTACTATGAATTCATAAAATGAAAATTATTTTTAATACGTCTATTATAATATTTTTAGGTATAAATAATAAAATACAAAATTAGAGTTCTCCTTTGGCCGATAAGTTGCGAGTTGTTTTGTACTTGGCTGAAAATACACTTGTTAAAGCAATGTTTTTTTGTCTAATATTATCTTATATAATAAATCATGTTGTTAAATATTGTTTTGATAATCAATGAAGCACCAAGTGTTTAATAAAAAATAAAATACTAACATAAATTAAAATTAATATACATATTTTACTTTTTAATTATGTTTCATTGACGTACTATTAGCCGCTCTCAAACACTTTATCTAAACATCATATTTAAAACCGGTACTGCCCCGGCTAAACCGATTATTGGGCAATACAGGTTCCAGCGCGAGAGTAACCGAATTGGTTCCCATTTGAAAAAGGTAATTTATTAAGTTGAGCTGAATTGGTTCCCGTTTGTTTTCAGGTCAAATAGTTACAATTTTAGTTTTTAATTTTTAATAATTGGTAAGTTGTACGAAGATATTTTATACAAAATTAAAATTAGATAGAATAAAATATGAATGTACCTACACTCTATAGCAGGGGTGGCCAACATGTCTATGTACACGAGCCACATGTATTAATAAGATTATATTAAGAGTCAAATTATCTAATCGGTACTTCTATACTACAAAAGTAATTAAGAAAGCTAACAGTTGATAAACATATATATATATATAAATAATTAAGTCAAAATATCGTTAAAATTTGACTAATGATCATCACACAGAATTACTAAGAACAACTCTTACATCAATTCAACCAGATCTTAAGAAGCTTACTAAAAAAGTGGACATGAAAAAAATACCACGCGAACAAATTTAACTTGATGTTTAATTTTTTAATTTATTATTCATATAAATAATTATTTTTTTTTTGTTTATTAATCTGTACACTATAGCCTCGTATTTATGCAATAACATTTTTTTTTTATAAATGTATACAAAAAAATTTAAATATTTTGGTTTTTGAAAATAAGACCGCGAGCCGCATACGACTATGACGAGGGCCGCATGCGGCTCGCGAGACGCAATTTGGCCACCCCTGCTCTATAGTATACACGCAATTAAATGGCAATAGATTGTTATATTGGAGGTTTAATTGAGATTGGCACGAAAATGTAAAGCTTACATGAAATTAAATGGGGATCGTTTATGCGAAGAAGTCTTAAACCCGTACCATTGAGAAAGAAAATGTACATTCAACGGGAACCAATTTGGCATGTGGGGTTGGGGCTCGGAAACCAATTCGGTAGGTACCAGTCCCCACCTTCCCAGGGCCACAAATTTCCTGTGATGATAACGCAGTTTCTTGAAACCGTTCGTTGGTAATTGTGTTTACCATAGACTATACAAATATTATAAAAATGGATTTAGTAAGGTTTTGTCGCGTAGCTTATGACGTCCGTGAAGTTGGCCCCCCCACTTTGTCTTATCGAATTCAAACTTTCACCAATATTTTGGAACTATTTGGAACCAACTTTTTATAATTTGGAACTTCACCCTTTTCTCGAAATAAGAGATTTTCGGTTGGGGGGTCAACTTCACGCAGCCCCCAATTTGTCCTATCGACTTCAAACCTTTACCAATATTTTGGAACTAATTTGGAACTATTTGGAACCAAGTTTTCAGAATTTGGAACTTCACCCTTTTCCCGTAAAAAAGATTTTAGGTTTAAATTTTTAGTCTAATACGGTCTAAAAAAAAAAAAATTAGCAATCAGTTCGGTTCGAGTTCGCCCTTTGTTAACATTTTCAAAACGGGACCGAACATAGATGTATAGACTGTACAAATTACAATTTAACACAAAAATTCTATTTTGTAAAAGAAAACAAAATATAAATAGATTATCTTCTATGTATCCCGCTTTGATATTATGCCGCTGAGTTTAGGGACACTCTATATAATGACACAAGTAAATAACAATTTTCCAAAAAAAAAAAAATAGACTAAAAAAATTGAAAAACATTAAAATTGATATAATTAAAAAAAAAAAAAAAAGTTTTAGCAAAAACCGCCTCTTAATTATTTTAATATTTAGAACAACTTAGTGTTTACAATTTCATTACTTTGACTACAATAAATACTAACCTTTATTTTACTCATTTTAAAAAATTATGTGTTATACCCAGGTCTTAAGTGTAGTTAAAATAAAATAAATAACGTCTATCTTACTACACCAGCGTTCTGCAAATGAATGGACTATCTTGCAAATTGTAATAGTTATAAAAATAACTCGGTATTGAAAATATATTATCCGTAAAAGACTATATGTATATTGAACCATTTAAATATAAATTCATAAAAGTAACACTTCACGGACTTGTCCAATAATAATAGCCTGAATGTATTGTGTTCAAAATAGCATCAAATTATATGACAAGGAAAACCAATAATAATATGATTTATATTAATTTTATCTTAAACAATGTAGTTTGTGTTCGAAAATATTAAAGTATATTTACTGTAATATTTTTATACGTTCATAGATATTTAGTTAATTTTAATACACTTTTCGTAAATTTCTAATTATATTGGCAGTTTAAAATAGTAATGTTAAAGTTTAATGCCATATAAAGCTAAGAAGAACCATAAAATTGTTCTCATTGAATTGATAATGCCTGGGTGAAGGATATAACTTTTTTAAGTTGCTAATAGTTATTTATATGTTGTAAATATTTATATGGATAGCAAAATTTGACAACTACAAAAATTATGCTTCCTAGTTTCAAAATGTTAATTTTAGATACTCCGAAATCTCCCTCCTATGAGCATAGCAATATACTTAGAGCACATATGGTCCGGAGTTTAAATATTATATTTCAATGGTAAAATAAAATTGTCTCCTAATCATAAAGATATATTTTAAAATGTTCTATGGTATTATATAACATTTATAGATACTAGTAATGCAAATTAATTTTTTTACCAAATTGAAAAACAGATTTCTAAAAACAATATTTTAGGTATGTACTAAGAAATATAATTTTGAAATTTCAACTTTGCAATTTTTAGATTTGTTTTCTTTTAGATAACTAATTTTCCTTTTTTAAGCATTAACTAATTTCAAATCTCACAATTTTAATTTATTATTACTATTTTTTTTTAAATCTGTAGCCTATATTAACTATAGATGTTTCGGAAAACTAGATTCTAATTAATTTCAAATAGTTCCAAAATATTGGTAAAGGTTTGAAGTCGATAGGACAAAGTGGGGAGGGGGCTGCGTGAAGTTGGCCCCCCCAACCGAAAATCTCTTATTTCGAGAAAAGGGTGAAGTTCCAAATTATAAAAAGTTGGTTCCAAATAGTTCCAAATTAGTTCCAATATATTGGTGAAGGTTTGAATTCGATAGGACAAAGTGGGGGGGCCAACTTCACGGACGTTAGCTTATGATATAATATTGTTGTTATGACTGTGAGAAGATAACGGAATTAAAGTGAATACATGGGACAGAATAGAAATACCAATTTATCGACAACGCTGTATTTACTAATTATTGCGATCGGCCGTAGTATTTTTTCTATAATATTGACTATTAGCATGGATTAAACATAAACACACTGTGATGCAGAGCATATTTTAATATACAAAGTACGTGGCACTAGTGCCCCCCAGTGATAATCAAATGCTACCCAATGATCGTGCCACTAACCAACACATTCTCATATCGACCATAGTGACAAGAGTTGATTTTCCCTGTATGTTCCTCTGCAGAAGAATACTACGTCTATGAACTACGATGGAAGACAATTTTATTGAAGTGCCACCCACTGAAAATTACTTAAAATATGTTCTGCTGTGACGTATTATTAGATATACCATTATTAAATATTACTTATTAATATTTAACCTATAGAGGTTGTGATGAAATTCTATTTTTTTTTTTCTATAATACGGGACGAAAGCGCTATTTTCAACGATGATTTAAAATTTGTTTCTAATTTTTCTGTAACGTAGAGCATCGGTTCCTAATCCGGGGTAATGCGCATCCCTAGGAATATGCGAGATGATCTCAAGTCCTGAAGAAAAAAAGTTGAGAACCGATGACATAGAGGATTGGAATCCGATCGTCCGTGTACAGAATAAACCTACGTACGACGAACCTACCCACACTAATCACAAACGTTATACTGTAGCAGTATGACAAGAATAATAGCCCATTGTACTATTACACACGATGTTCATAGATTTAGCGTCACAAAGTTGATCGATTTAATCAAAACCAACGCCAATATATTGCAAACACATTTTCACATTTTGGCTAATTCTCGAATTTTTGCAAGCCCAATCGGTGATTGGACATTTTAATCGCTAACTGAGAACACTCAATATCTTTGCGTAGAGACCTGCATTTGAATTCTGATTTTTTGTTAGTTTTTATGACATAAAATGTGTATTTTTACGAGTTTATAATTTTTTTAACTTGAATAGACACGCGTATGTGTAGTACAAAATAATTATTCTAGAATTGTTAAAGCTTGATATTTATACGTTATTATAATTTTATCTACTGCATAATTTTAATTTTAATTTGGGTATGTATTAAAACTTATAGTAGAAAAAACGTAAATAAACAGACATGTTGTTTATTTGGTGACATCTAATGGATTTATTGGAATTTATCAATAATTGACAGTAAGTTTAATTTTTATTCAAGTTACAAGTTTATTTATTTATCGATTAATTTAACGTATAAACAGTGCTCTTATTGGTAGGGGGGGGTGCGCAGGGGGACGGAGCTCCTCTACAATTTTTTTTTTTTGAGTACCCCAACTATATTTTTTCACCGGAACGGGGGATGCCACGTTCATCCTAATTTATGTCCAAAATAATTTTTATGTGAATTTCAATTTACGTCAGTTGGAAAATGAATTTTACGATTTATAGTATCAAAACTATTTTTATAATTTAAGATTATATGGTGGTTATAAGGGACAACGTCGTCATTTCTGGAAAAATATAAATAGTAATTTCTGTGAATTTGGTGTATTATACTTTTATACATTGTACGGTTTGTTATTAATATTGGCGATCGACGATATCGTTATTTCGGAAAAAAATAAATGCCCTCACCACGACCTTAGACTAATTTTCTAAGGCCGTAGCCCGCACTAAAGAGTAAAAATAGATAAAAACAAATACCAAATATGTGATTATATCATTCGATTTATGAGACTGCCTGATCGCTTACAATTAATAAACAATAATCTTACAATCAATATCTATGTTAATTATTATTATTTTATTTTTTATTGTAACATATAGGATGTTGGTATTGCTATCAAAATATACTTAAGGTTGGTGGAGGGGGAAGAGGGACGAAGCCCCCCCCCACGAGTCTGTGTTAAATAATTGCGCACGTGGAACGCAGTTTTCCAATCGTTGGACTGAGCTCCTTTACTTAATTTTTTCCGATTCGAGCACTGCGTATAAATGTTCAAATTGTCCTCCGAGAACAAACCATGATTCAGTGCGCCGCATGAATTCTTTATTTGTTGCAGCAGTTGTTTCTTCATCAGTTAGTTGATTGCAATATTAATATTTTAAATTAGAATAGAAACGTAATTTAATACTTATCGTATCAAGCACTATAAAACTAAACATAAGACACCTCCCTTAAAGTAAACGTTTATCTTTATCACAATTTGATATAAATTAAATACGATGAAATGAACACGAAATGTTAATACAAACTGATCGTTTCGATATTTTTCATCGTCCAAATACGTGTGTTACTCCGTGATTAATATGAATCATTCCGAAAAAGTTGATGTTATTTATTTATTGGGAGTGTTATTAGGGGAAAAAATGCACGTCGCACTGCACAAACTTATGCTCATCGTTTCCCAGATATGCTTATTAATTTTCTTTATATTGCATTTATTGTCTCCCAATGTTTATTTTGATAATGTAAAAAAAAAAAAATTTTTTGTTAAGATCAATTCATTGTAGCGCCCCCGTTCATTTCTTCATCTCGCACAAACCTATAATATTGATGTATTCGTGCTCAGCCCAGTGACGCCGAGCCTTACGGGGGGAGGATGATTGCGCGCGACACCAGTTTTTCGCGCCTATTGAAGTGTGGCAACCGATCGCCGTTCTTGTGACGGCTGGTGATCTTCGCTCGCGTACGCAAAGCATGGCATAAATTACATAAGCGGAAAATAAGACACGTTGTTCGTGGAAAGTCGTATTGCAAAACGTAACATACATCTGGGGCTGAATGGTCGTTGACGATAGAGTCACAAGACCCGACCCAAACACAGGTGTAAGAACGACAGACGCCGACACGCAGTCTTGCCAGCCGTCACAAGAACGGCGATCGGGCGGCGGGCAGCTTCTAGAAAATTCTACGCCCGAAGCGCCATCGTGGAGACCGGTTGCCACATTTCAATAGGCGCGAAAAACTGGTGTCACGCGCGAACAGCATTAGATAATTTTTTAAGTTAGTTTCGTTGTTCATGGTAATTACTTTAGATAGAGAATATCCTGCCCATAGTTTTATTCATAACTTAGAAAGGAATATTAGAATATAATCTTAACTGCTGCAACAAATAAAGAATTCATGTGGTGCGCTGAATCTGACCCCCACAAGCTGCCTGATATACATCTATGGTATAGATAGTATAGATTCTATACGGTATTCAAATTTCGCTGATGTTGATCGCTCAAATGTTGCTGATCATGTCTTGTGTCACAGCATTTACAGCATCTTTAATCCTGTTTTTAGGTAAATCACACACTGCGAGAAATGAGGAATGTGGCGGTCAGAGATGAATCACCAAATCAAGGGTTCCTTTACAAGCCCAATCCAATCTTGAGGGAGTCTGCCGTTCAGATATTAGCGAACTTCTAACATAAAATAAACTAAAAAGAAACTTGACTATTTTATCTTTCCATTGGTAAATAGGTCGTTAACCTGCAATTAATGATTACTAAGCTACATCAGTTCATAATCAAATGAAAACTTTTGAATTGTCCTTTATATTAACATATATAAAATTTATCAGTGAAATTATTTTCCATAATTAACATTTAAATGGGGAAGGGAGGGTGAATGTACACATTATTGCCTTCATGGATTCTAATTAATATAGAATAATACACATATTATACCGACATCACCTTCCCCAATATGATTTACAACTCTACAGATAACTTCCAAGGACTTAGGTATATTGTGTCAACATTTAAGAACACATAAATTAATTCAACCATTAGTATTCATTGGTAGAAGTTTCAGACAAATTAATTAAATATATTGATTAAAATCTTAAAATATTAATTTGTCAATAACAGATATTACAAATATTATTAAGTGTATTTATTAAACAAAAATAATAAAATAAAACTATTATCATTATATTTTTTATTTATTGTTTTATAGATGAGTTTTATCTTGTAAAAAGTATTAATTGTTATATTGAACTCAACTTATTCGCGTTCTTACAAATTAAAATAGAAACAGAACATGAAGGAAAATAAATATTAATAAAATCGACTCGATTTTTTTTTTTAAATAAAATAATAGAATATTCATGAGGAAAATAATAGTTAATAGAACGCGAAAAGTTAAACTTTATTTTAATAAAATCAATTTATTTTTTGAGATTTTAAAAAATTATTAATATAAAACTTATAAGTAGTCTATGAAGAACAACAAGAAAAACTTAACAGATTTTTTTTTTTTTTAATAATACTTAATCTTAAATACTTAAAATGGTAATCAAACTTTGGTTTGTAATCACTTATTGTCACCATTCTCATGAGTTATGGAAATTTCGTTCTGAGGCTTTTCTTCTACAGTTGTATGACCATTAGCATCAGATATTGATGATACAGAACTTGGATCGTTTTCTTTATCGGATGTACTCTTTCTTGTATCTTTGTTACTACTGCTATGTCTCCTAAATCTACCACCATACCTTCGGCCTCCTTTGGGTGGTGGAGAATCAGGTTCAGGATTTTCAAAATGCTTAATTATAGTCACAATAATATCTTCTTTATCTTCATCAGATAATTCTGGCAATTTTTCTTTAACAATTTCTTTAAAACTATCTCTATTGTCCTGAAAATTAAAAAAAAAAATAAAATAGGTATAATTAATAGTAGATAAATAATAGAAAAAGTTATTAACTGTACTTACAGTCCATAAGGTTTGGAGTGTTGTGTAATCAATATTAGCCTTGGCAATAGAATTACGATATCCAATAGCTTTTTTGCGTTCAGTGGTAGATGTGTGGTAGGAAAAGAACTTTTGATAAACAGTATTTAAAGATTTTTGTCTAGCTAACAGCTCTTGAGTGCTATGTAATGTGTTTACTTCATCATCTAGAGCTGTAAGGAATGTAGATAATGCTTTGGTCTTGGTTTCTTCAGAAACTTCACTTCCAGTTACAACTTCTTTTCCATCACCATCACCATTTCCCAAAGTCACACATAAATGTTGAACAATCTGTAAATAACATTACACTAATTAATTAGGTAAAAGAATTATTAAATATATTTTAAAAAAAGAAAAAAGAAAGATGAAAACTCACATCATAGGCCAATTTAGCACGTTCGGTTGCTTTTGATATATCAATGTGATCTTTATCTAGAAGAACTTTAGAGAGAACTCTTAGAGAAAATGTAACCATAGTATCTTGACAGTGAGTTTGAGCAAATGAATGACAGTTGGCAAAACCTACTACTAATTCGGAGAATTTATCCAATAAATTATAACTGAAAAAATAGATAAATAAATAGAATAGGACTTATAAAATACAAAAGTAATATTAAAAATTATTAAAATTTTTTCTTACACAAGAAGAGACTTAATTAGAAGACATGTATTGAATTTGCTAACTTCATGACACACTAATATGGCCTTTTTTTTACCGTTATCTTTTAAGGTTTGTTCTAACCATTCTATAAACTCAACTAAAGCAGATATTTCACTCTTTGATTTTAATGTCTAAATAAAATAAATAAATATTAATAATATTTATATATAACCAAACATTGAATTTGAAGAGTAACATTTTATTATATAATCAAGTATACATACTAAAAATTGTTTTATACAGAAGATATTTAATTTCAAGTTTAGTAAACATTACATTATCTATTAGAACTACTTAAAATTGAGAAATTTGAAAAATGAAAAAATCTCTATTATTTAATTAAACTCAGTAACATAATTAGGAGTAATTACATGGAAGGCTGCAATGTTAAATTCTACCAGAGAAGTGTATTATCTAAACTCAACTACTCTGCCATACTATTTCTAATTATTTGTATATAAAATTACTTATTTATTTAAAAAAAATAATTCACTTAGAAAATCATCAAGGAGACCTATATATACATATATATATACACAATCATAAATAATTTTAAGTTTGGAAGAAAAAACTTACAATCAGAAGAAGTTATGTGATCATCATACTTAAAATTTTTATATATGATTGATTAATATAGAATATATTACTTTGTTGCTTTTAACATCTTTTAATGCACGGAAACGACCCATGGTTATAGTACACAATAGATGACGTTTTCTAGCTACTTGATCAATATCATTATGTGGCATTATATATTGGTTAAATGCTGACTTAGGCGTGTAACCAGCAATATGGCAGATTTCATCTAGTAAGCGGCGCCCGGTAGTGTCAATATCCCAACCAAAAATCAAGTAATCAGATAAGTTATCCAACACTACCATATTATTTCTACTGGCATCTATAATTTCAGTATTCTGAACCATTTTTCTGTAATAAACAAAAATTAAAAAGATTAAAAAATAAATAAATAAGCTGATAAAATAGTCTCATCCCAATTTAGCTTGAAGGTCAACTTGAATACATTTATTTAATTTAGACTGCAAATTATTAAATATATTAATTACACTAATAAATACAAAAATATTACAATAAATTAACGTCTTAATCTTAAAATTATTTCCTACTATATACAACAATAACAAGTGTACACAAAGGGACAGCAGGATGTGCACTTACTTACTAACCCATCACAATACAACTTATCAGTTTCTTGTTCAATAATTGACAACTCAAACATATAAATTCAACTGTCATATCTCATAATTTGCAATAAAAATTATTTCATTCCTATTAATTCTTCTTGAACCTCCTTTTCTTCCTTACACAAATTTATGTTGGTTTTGTTAATTTTATTTATTCATTATTGTTGTTTATAATTAGAGTGCGGATTTCTATGCAATCGCATATTTTTTTTCCATTCAATATTTTTGGATTTTTGTCAGTTATCTCCACGAATCATCATAATTTGAAGCTAATGGTGAAATTTTTTTTTGCATACTTCTGCATATTTAGAGGTTACTGCATATTTTGGCAAAATTCAAAATATATTGCATATTGAAGTGAACATTAAAAAAAAATGTATAAAATAATATTTTGTCAAGTAGGAAAATTAAAAATAAATTTCATAGTCACTAAATAATAATTTATATATATATTTAGTTATAAAATAAATAAACGATTATGACGTAAACTTAATTGTTCTTGCTGTGTCAGTCGATTATCGACATACCACTTGTTTCAAATATGCCCCAATAACTTTGGTTGACATCGAGGGTTCGTTTTCAGTCTTTCAAAATATGTTAACCGATAAACGATACAGCTTCACAGAAGATAAACTTGAAATGCATATAATTATTTATTTTAATAATAAATAAAATTTTAAACATAAATTAAGTTCAGAAAATTCCCTAATTTTTTTTGTATTAAGTATTTAAATAATTAATTTTTATAAGTTGAATTATAAATTTTAAATAAATAAAAAATTCTTGCATATTTTTTGTATATTTTCATGCTTTTTACTACATATTATATGGCATATTTCAATACTTTTAAGTGCATACAAATCCGCGCTCTATTTATAATAAATAATTGGTAGGATGGAACAATATACATACATTTATTACCAATACATTTTACCATTTAAAATATGGGTTAGTATCTTAAAGTTTAATAACTGAAGCATAAGAAACTATAAGAATTGAATCGTGAATTTCGAAAAGGGTTCATAACTGAAAATTAAAATATTTCAGGAAATTAAAAAATTGATTATTTTTTTTATTTTAACAATTAACATTAATTCATTCATTCAACACAATAGAAAAGAGACTTGGAGCCCGATATAAAATACCGGTTTATATGAGTAGATGAAAAAAACGTAGCAGTCTAGATAAAAACTCGAGTTGGGCTCTTTTCGAAATTCACGATTCAATTATAATAGATTATTTTAGTTATATAATACATTTGGTGAAATACGAAAATATGGATTCATTTTAATATTATAATAATAAAAATACCTATGTAAAAACAAAATTAATGTTCACTGCTTATAATTGATCGTTAAAACGTGAACACTTTTATAAATATTAGTTTAATGGCCTAATATTTAAAAAAATCGATATTAAGTTATTATTATTAATTTAAATAAAATATATAGATCTAAAATTACAATAAAATTAAATAATATGTGAAGTTGAAAATTAATACAGGTAATACCTAAAGACAATATATTATAAGAAAAATACTTGATAAGTTAATATAGGTATTTATATTTTTGAACTTTCCAATTATTAAATAACATAAGAGCTCAAAAATATTTACGGAATCACAATTTTAAAATGTAATTCGTACTACGTTATTACATAGGTAGATTTAAACAGTGAAATAAAAACAAACCCAATCAAAATATCTATAAATACACACAAGCATACTAAGAAAAAAAAACGGAAATCCTAGCCAGTATAAATAATTTTTAATAGATGATTTATATTAGAACTGTGGGATTTATTGTGATTTAATTAAAGTGCCTATCATAAGTTTAAACGATAATAATATGTCAATCTAAATGGGCCGAAACTTCAAAACCGGTTAAATATGATAAAACGAAAAACACGACAAGAAACGTAATTACACGACAAAATCAAGTATCGAAAAACCACTTAGATACGAAATCGTAATGACCTTCCGTCAATAAAAATTCTCTATAAGAATAAAAAAAGTAGGTGGTCATGACGACGGCGTATTAAAATGAGCAAATTAAAACTGGTTAATGAAAATATTGAAGTTCCGAGGACAGTAACGGCGGCATCAGAAACGTATATTAGAAGAGCGGAAGTTTTGTCGAAAAAAAATGAAAAACCGTTAAGTCACTTGTCCTTGACAATTAAAGGAATGGAAATGGAATTATGTTTTTTTCAAAGAACTCCTCGACCATTTTACAGTGAAAATTTCGCGGCGTATGGCATGAGCAAGGCCGCCAACGGTGATTAACCTAACAACCTTTTAAAAAACCGTCGGAAAAACGGAAAAAATGCACGTGTGCAAACGACGGCGACTCATCGTCGCATATAAATCTATAATAAAATATATTATGAGATCACGTACCTGATATATTTTCTTAAAGCTCTCTTGGGTATTTTTCACTTCAGACAACTGGCGACGAAGAAGAAGGAAAAACGTGTGAGTTGTAGAGCGTGTCGGCTTTAGTCTTAACCAACGTGAATGCAAGTGTTAGTGTGTAGTACATATATGGGTGTGTGTGCGTGCGCACGGCGAAGAGATAAACTAGCGACGCGTGTGTGCGAGTGTGAACGTGAGATTGGGCCGCGTGGTCGGTTAATAGTAATCAAATGCGTGTTCGATAACTCTGGATCGGTGGTGGGGAAGTGAACGGGTCTAGACTTTAGTTGAGAGCCGGAGAAAGGCAGATACTAGTGAGCACAAAATGGGGGGAGGGAAGAGGTCGAGTAATGATCACGGACATAACTGTGAGGGAGAAAGAGTTAATTGTTCTTTGTTGTGGTGAACGACGTCAGGTGACCGTGACTGCAGACCCGATTGGACGGCGAAAGATAATGTTTCATATAAACGCATAATTTTACAAACACAAAACATTCGTTCGACAATATTTTTTGGTACATACATATGTGTACTAAATGACTCACGGCGTTATCTCGCACGCGTTCGCCGGAAGAACACTCTGTTTGAAAATCGCTTTTGGTGGGGAATCAATGATAACGGCGAACTGCTGATTAGTGTTACCAAAGCTGACAGCGGTTGTTACTGCATCGTTGTATGACCGTGGTTGATATTAGTGATTTGGCCTGGTTATTAAGCAACTACTATTCGGCATTCAGTAACTTTTGTACCATAGTGGAAAATTCCAGTATTTTTCATAATCGTTTCTAGTTCATTGAATATTTTAACCCGGCGTTAGTCGCGCTATGGCCAAAATGACCGAACTTTTTTTACATGTTTAATAAAACATTTATGTTTTATATTTTAACCATTGATATTCGGTATACCTTTCAATAATGTTATTAAAAATGATATTATAATATTCCAAGTATATTTAACTTCGTACATATAGAATAAATTAAGATAAAGTGATATATCATTAATTGCGGTCATTTCGACCTAATCGCGACTAATGATGTTATTATTTTTATTATTACGACTAACATTGCCGGTTAGGTTATTATTAGACTAACATTTCCGGACTTATTTATATTATTATTTATTTTATTTATTCATCTAAGTTACTCATAAATACATAATATACAGTATACAAATTTAAATAAAAATCGTACATTGCTCTTTTAAATTAGGTACCCAATTTATATGTAAAGAAGTACTTTCAGTTTCAATTTTTTTCTTTGTAAATAATTTAATAAGTTATTAAAGTTGTATGAAAATTGATTTGTCTTAATAAAGTTACGAAATAACGTTTTTTATAATTATATTCTAGAAAATTATAACGCGGTCAAAAAGGACCGCGGTGCGACTAACGCTGGGTTAAATACTTCGTTGGATTTTACTTATATTTTCCAATGCTTAAGTTAAATATAGATTAACTTTAAACAGATAAAAATATGATGATGGAAGCATACTAAACAAGACATCAATAATCATTTTAATCTTATGAAACTCTACATACATAATATAGAGGTTTTCCTCTTATTGATTTTAAATATGAAAAATACTTTAGTTCCTTAACTGATTGCAGTGTGTTCATAATAGTTCTTAGTATTAGATACTAGGGAATCATTTGAAACTCCTCTTTTCTATTCCATCTAAATATTGTACCAATTTTTTTGAAAAATGAAATAAATGATTCTCCAATATTCTGTAAATCAGTATATTACATTGGATAAGCCAATACATTTATTTATATTAGAAACTTTCACACAGCATATAAATTACTCGATATGGCCAGGTAAATAATGGTCATATATCATTATTTTGGGAATATCTAAAAAATAAAACAATTTTAATTATTAAAAACCTTAGGACTTGGTGGTTTTACCATAAATGTTAGAAAATTTAATTTATATTTTCAGTTTTATGAATACTGAAATGTTAGTAAAAAAAATATTAAAACTTATTTCTACACATGGGAATAACAAGTATGTATATGATAGATCAGCTGTACATCTTCAAAACACAGTAGCTGTATTTTTCATAATTCGATATGAAAATGACTATTGTAATGTACGACGGGCCGCCAACTTAACTTCAAATTAAATCGACAAAATGGTATTTTTAGCTTTCATTCAGCTGTAATTGTAGATACTGTGTTTTGCAATTTATGTAAGAAATTATAAAATCCTATTATATTTAATTTTAAAAACAGTAAAGGTAAATAATATTTGTTAAATAAAAATGAAGGCCATTTAAGGGCGTATTTGAGAGGGTTAATGGGGCTATGTCCCCCCCCTAGATCTATATTTTGTATGCAAACATTCTGAAAAATCATTAATCCTCTTTTATTATTCGCCAAGAAGTGGCTTAGTGAAAAATCGAGTCACCCTATACTTCCTAGAATAAAGTATAAATACACCCCTAAATGAACTAGCAAATGTTTAAATTGTTTTTTGAATAGAGTATTTTTACAAACTCGTATGACAGTCCCAAAACAATAACAAATTAAAAAAATGCTTATTTCACACTAAATTATTTTAAATAGTATTGAATTCCTATTTAAATGCTCAATTAGTAAGAAATTTCTATTTTATGGCATAACTCGAACGAGTTTATCAATAATTCCTTTTTTTTTATTGAGGTTAATTTCTCTATTTTAGGTAATTTTTTTAGGGGCATATGTTTTAATATCTATCAAAATTTTTTTTTGTAAGAAGTCTTTGGCTCTCCATTAAAATCTGTCCAATATTAAAAAAATCGTAGTTAATAATTACTGTTTCAAATTTGAATTTCACTATGCTTGAAATATATTTTCTACTGATTTCAATCATTACAAATTCAAAACACAGTATTTACACTTCATATAGATACTGGGTTTTGTTATGGTTTTTATTTTTAAAAATAAAATACTGTAGTTTGTATGTGTTAACTCCTGGAATAATTTTCTGTTTCCATAGAGGATGTTATATAAAAATTCTGCAGGTTTTGGTATCTAAGAATAAATAAAAAAGTAAATTTTGAAAAGAATGTTGGTTACGGTGTTTTGACAATATACAGTTGAGATATTGTATGTACGTGGAACTATACATACATAACTTCAACTCAGGTATGCTTTTAAATACATATTTTCACCATTTATATTAGGGACTTGGTTATACTATTCCGAAAAAGTAACTTAATTTATGTTTCTCATATTTTCACTACATAATTTTTCTTTATATAACACCATATGATAGTAGAATACATAATTTATAATTGTAAAGCACTAAGTATTAAAATAAGAACAATAAAATTAATAGGAAAGAAGTAAAAGGATAATGAAAATTGTTATCAAAATTCAAAAAGAGTGTTTTTATTCTTAAAGAAAAAAGTTTTACATATTTGACCAGTTTGGTGCAGAACCACCTCCCCAGTTTGTATTGGCTGCACCAGTGGCAGGTGCAGTATTCCATTCATCAGCCTAAAATTAAAACAAATTATAGCACATAATATTAAAACCAATATGGATGAATAAATAAATACTAACCGTCCAGTCAAGAGCAGCAGCTGCAGCAACTGCTGGAACTGCAGCTACAGGAGCAGGAGTTCCATCTTCAGCCCAATTTTGTGGTGCAGTAGCTACAACAACACCTTCATTCCAGTCCGCAGCTGTATTAGCCAATACATAATCATCTCCAGTCATAAGTGGCTTAACAGTTGAAGGTGCAGGTAATGCTTCCTTAGCAGCAGCTTCTTCTTTCTCAACCTTCAAAATGAATAAGAATGTTTCATTTATTCTAAGATTTTTTTTTAATATTAATACTTACATCTTCAGGATCTCTGTAAAAGAACAAGTCTACAACAACATCCCATTTACCATCACGAGGAATAGTACCTCTAAGACGAAGAACTTCACGGGCCAAAAACCACCACATGAGTCCAATAGAATGAGGAGACTAAAATTTTAAGTAATATTAATAAATTTAGAAAGTTCAACAAGCTCAACAAAACATACCTTGTTATTGCATGGAATAGCAATATCAACATATCTTAATGGTGTATCAGCATTACATAAAGCAATTACAGGGATGTTAACGTAAGAAGCTTCAGTGATTGGTTGATGATCAGTAGCTGGATCAGTCACAACTAGAAGTCTGGGTTCACGGAAAGCAGCCTAAAGTATTTCAGATTATTACTAAAAACTCATCTAAAAAAATGTATTAGTTTTGATTGTTTTTATTTATCAGAATATAAAAGTGTATCAATCATTTATTTTCAGATTGACTGGGGTGTATAGTCATCATTTTAATTATATATTTTAATACATAAAATAATTTATTAGGTTTGATAAAACATTTGATTACACATAAATACTAATTTCATTCTACTAACATATTTTTTATGACTTATATTAATATTAATTAGTAATCAATCAATAATCAGATTGAATGATTTTTGTCATCACCTAGTTCCTTTAAAAGTTTTAAATGTTGACTAACATGTAATTTTTAAAATATAAATTAAAAAAAATTTATCTCAGGGAGTAAGACACAATTAGTCATTATTTTTAATATATACACGTACACCTAATAAGACTAAATTTCACCTTTCAATTTATTGATTATATTTACATTTTTTTTATTTCATTAATAAAATAATCTTCTCATTTTTCAAATAAATGATACAATTCTATTAATGTTTCCGTTTAAATTAAAAAAAAAAAAAAAAAAAATGAAATATATATTTTATATATATATCATACATAGATATAACCAGGGCTCAGAAGTTCTAGCAAATACATATTTTTCTTGTTTCATCTTAAAACATCCAAAGTAAGATACAAATATGTTTCTCACTACTCGGATATCATACATAAAATTTAATTTTGCTATTTTTTTTTGTGCATATTTACGGGTTTTATTGCTATTTTGCTAATTTAGGGTTTATAGTGCTATTTTTGGGTATATTTTCACATAACGTAGGAAATAATCACATTTAGTTAATAATAATTATATTTACTTGGTTATGTTTTTAAAAAATATTTTAATAATTGGAAATAAATAGACCTTATCAAATATTATTTTATGTTTTTATCGACAATTTGATATATTAATAGTTAATGACATCATTGTTATTTCCTTATTATATCATTGCATTAGATTATCAAATATTTTAATAATCTAAGATAATTTCCAATGTAAATATATAAAATAATTTAATAAGTACATTTTTACAAATATATTTTAGTAATTTAACATTTTTTGTTAACAGTTAATAATTCAATCAGTCCAGACTGCGTCCAATGAACCCAACAATTTGTAAAATTACTTTTGTACAAGTTAAATACATATTTTTTAATTTTTTGTGCCATTTACAGCGCATATTTTAGAATTTAGTGCTTATTTAAGAGCTAAAAAATAACATTTTAAGTGATAAAACTTTTGAGCCCTGATTATAATATAAATATATTGTTCAATTAAAGTACTATACCCACATCGGACACTACCCAGTTTTATTTTTTACCTTATCCTATTTAAGATAAACTATAAGGTAATATTTATTATTTCCATAATTTAGTATACAGAATGTTAGCAAAATTTTTTATTTAATCTAAATAAAATTGGTATATTATATTAGATACCACAAAAAATTACACATTAGCCATCATTAGCTGAATGTGAACATTACCAATAATGTGTAAATATATATACACACATTAACTTAAGTTATGCAAATATATATTCAGAGTAACAATTTATCAATCATTAAAAATATTAAATTGATTGGGGTGTAAACATATTAGACATATTAAACCAATAGCATCCTATACAATGTTTAAAATTAGATAAGTTATACACAAAGACATTACAAAATTACATATAGATTACAATAAAAACAATGCAAAATGAGTGACAGTCACTATGACGACCATACTCAACAATGCACGAGAAAAACCTTTCTCTGCTGCTTTCATTAGTCTATTTATACTGTGTTAACTAGTTATCGCGATAAGATATATATATAATAATATTAATGATTTGATGCTAACCAAAGGTATTGAATGGACACTTTAATTGTTTTAATAAGGAAAATTTCCAGTCTATGCATGCTTTTTAATATTACTACTATAAATTATTAATTATCAGAAAAAACAGTTTGATCATAAGTACAAAAAAAGATCAATCATAAATAATTCAGATTGACTGGAGCGTACAGATAAAATCATATCAAACAATTAAATACATATAGATTTTTTTTAGACATATAATTTATTACATACTTGGATTTGATTAGTGAAAGCTCCAGGAGTAAAACGACCAGCAATTGGTGTAGCTCCAGTATAAGCTGCAAACTTTAACACAGCACGCTGCCCATAAGGTCTAGAAGAAATAACAAAAATTTCTGATGGATGTTCAACAGCAACAATAGCTCTGGCAGCTAATAAAAGCTTTTCCCAAGTTTTGTTCAAGTTGAAAATGTTCAATCCTAAAATTGCAATACTAATATACTTAACCCTTAACGCTATAAATTAGTGATTAGTCAAAAAATAACTTACCACGGCTGTTTCTCTTGTACACATATTGCTCCATTTGGAAGTTGACATTTTCAGCACCCAAGTGGGTGGTGGCAGCCAACATCTTGGTGACATCATCTTCTTTCAAACCCAATACATCTAATCCTCCCGACATGTTGCTCTTTAAAAAAAAATTTCATAGTAAAAACTACATACTTAAATATTAGTTCCCAAAACCAAGTAATAAGATATAAATTTAAATGTTTAAGTTTTTAAATAAATCTATCACCTGATTATTAAATATAAATGTAACCTAATCATAGGTACTAGCTTTGGAAGTACGAATGGCTTGAAGACATCAGTTACAAACATAACCTAACATTTGCGACATATTTTCAGGATTTTTTTTTAAATGTTAGTTTTATCAACTTTAAGTCTCATAATTGTTTGAAAACAGCAGAACGTATGAAATAGATATTTGAGAACAGTATAAGCAATTATGTAGGATTATAGAATTTAAAGTATATATCACAAATCACGCCGGATTGCATGTGGCCAAAATTGGCAGTGGAGTGAAACAATGTATAAGATATTAGCCACACAACAATAAAAATACTGTTAATGGCGTACTGAGAGGGTGAAAATTAATTATATATTTTAAATTAATACTTACATTAGGTCAGGCGTCTAATTCAACAAGATATTTTTTAAAAAATTAACCAAAAATACTAAGATAATAAAAAGAGTCAGGGAAAAGGAAACATTTTCATTGCGTGTAGAACGAGTACGCCGCGTGAATAGGCGGGGCGAGCACGTCGATAGTCAACAGTGTAGTAAACATGACAAAAACGTAAGAAACTAATTAATTTTTCTCAATCTAATAAATGAAAAAATTATAAAATTGAATAATAATAAAAATAATAATAACTATAATAATTATAAATTATACTTGTGTTAAAAAAAAAAAAATAAACAAAAATGTATCCATTAATGATTTTAATGGACTACAAAACAGTTATTATGCAATATTTGTTGTAAAATAATTAATAACAATTAAAAAAATGTTATTGAATTAGTCATTCAATCGATATTTTTATTTTGTGATGGTGGTGACGCCTAGGGCATATTTGAGGGGAGTGAAGGGAGCATTCGCCCCCCACGGCACGTATTTTTTTTTGAATATAATACATTGATTTATATGAAAAATGTAATGTATAAAAAATTAAAAATATAAATTATTAGTCTGTTATTATAATATGTTATTATTACAACAGAAACATGAGCTGAAGGTAATGAACTGTAAATTATTTTAAAGTTTGTTTCTCAGGTGTCGTTAGTGAACGGCTCCTTCCTCAATTCATTCAAGTGTATTTATTTTTATCTTTATTAGCTAACAAATTTACTCAATGTTTTAAATAACATATTGTAAATAACTTGTATTGAATAAAAAAAAAGTTTGTATCGAAGAAAAATGAGTTAATAATCCTTACCCTAGAAATAACTAACAATAATAAAATAATCGAAGAGGTATTATGCTGTAGAATAATCAATACAAATAGGTAATACTATGGATCATAAGTTAAAAACAGAAATACGAGTATACCTTGGTATAAACGTCGCGACTACAGATAACTCAAAATAAAAAAGTAAAAGTGGATGAACATGGATTATAACTTGATTATAACGGCGAAATAATACTTTTACCCCCATTAATCAATGTACTGTGGCGATCGCCCCCATAGAGTCGCCGCCTATGTCAAGTGGTGTAATTGCACTGGTTTTTTGTGGGTCCCGGGGCCTACATACATTTGTGAAGCCCATTCTGGTCTCCGTAGCAGACACTATAAATACATAAATTCATCTGGATCTTTAGATCGTTGAATAAAACGTAAAGAATTGGCAGTACCAAATATATAAACAAATATAAATATATAATAACTAATATAGATAACTATAATAATTTTGATTGTGTTTGTAGTTAATGTCAAAGCTCAGGAAGCCACCCCAAGATGCATATGCTATTATGTTAATATGTCATGTAACTAATATAAAAAAATAAATTATGATGAAGTAATAAAAATATTTTGTAAAACAAGTCAACACATATTTAATGCTTTAAATTAAATCACTAATCAAAATTTTATTATGTCTAATGTATATGTTAGTGATGAGCTTAAACGAATAATTCGGACTACCGACTATTAGTTATCAGGGGCGGACGCAGAAAAAAATTTCGGTGGGGTTTTGAAAAAATAAGAATAATTACCGTCAGATCCGTATTTAAAAATTTGGCGCTATCGGGCATATAATTTATGTCAATCGTAATGTACCATTGCAAATAATATTATATGGATTACGTATATTTACTGACTTTTACTTACTGATAATAAGTGATTTACATGCATTATTTTTACGAAGTATTGCCATCATGGAATTTAAAAATTTGAGTTTTAAGTACCAATACCTTTTAGAACGTTTGGAAAATTACAAATTATTACAAATTCATTTTTCTTAACAAAACATTTTTTTTCTAACATATTTTAATCGTATTTTGAACAATTCTTTTTTTTTTTAGGTACATAAGGTAGGATAACTACGTTTGAAATTAATCATCCATTAATTTCTGGGAGAAGGGGTTGAATCACAAAACCCCTCCCTGTGTCCGCCACTGATAGTTATACTTATAAAAATACTACCGATTAATAAGCACGATCGAATAATAGTTATAGTTTTAGAAATACTACCGACTAATTTTACTATTAGTTATTCGACTAATTATTCGTTAGTCGACTAAATTATTCAACTAATATTTTTTTCATAAACCGACTAATAAACTTATTCAGTACAATCTATTTAGTCGGTAGTTATTAGTTACTCATGCCCATCACTAGTAAATGTAGTATTATCTTTAAAATCTTTAATAATTAATAAGTTATTGTATTTGAAAAATTGCTCTAAGGTTAGGTTTATCATAAATATAATACTTTTTTTTATCAAAAATACCTATACAGCTATTGTTTCAAACTCATAAAAATCATAATATTTTAAAAACTATAAAAGTCCTAGTTTCATTTAAGCTATTAAAATTAACAAACAAAGAATTTGATATGCTTAAATCCATAAAATTGGATAGTGGCCCATCATACATACTAATAGTACATAAAATATGAACGTAGGTAATTAAATTAATAATAAATTCTTTATGTGTTCCTCTGTTGCAATAAAAAATTATGAAATGTTAAAATGTGTACTGTTAACAGTGTTGATTGTATATTAATTAATCAAAAAATAATAATAATAGTTATCTAAATGTTTAGATGACCAACGATAAAAAAAGATATTGAGGAAATCTTGGAGCATTTGAATGAATATCAAGCATTATAACAAGTGTACATTGTACCTATTTAATCTTGGTGCAGACGGATTGAATACAACGAAACACGACCCAATAAACCATTGCTGTTATTATTATTGTGCATAAAATTGTTTTCTTATCTAACCGAAAATTTTGTAATCATAATTTCTTGCTACATAAATATACAATTTGAATTTGTAACTATAATTCAGTGAAATAATTACTGCGTATAACTATTAATAATTATCTTTAATAAAAATAACAATATATAAATAAATTAGGAAATCCAATGGTGTACCCGATCAATGTATTATTTTACAGGTATGTTATTATAAACGTATATGAAAGACAATCCCCTGCAGTGATGTGTGTATCAATCTAAATGTTTTGTTTACATTATAAAAAATGGTGGAAATTAATTATTAAAACCCCTTTGTGTATTTTAGTTTATACTTCTAATTAATTATGTATTATAATTTATATTTTAATTATTTGTAATTAAGCTTTATAAAGTTTATATTTTAAGATAAAGTTATCAACGTGAATAATTTGTGTTACAAAATAATAAAATCATGTTAGCCTCAGGCATAGATTTAATATATACGTGAGATTATAGTTTTATACTGTTACTTATTACATTATTGTTACATTAATTTTAGGTGCCTGTATTGTTTTTTGTAATACTTGTCATAGATTTATACTACATGACTGAAGATTTAAATATCACTATAAGGCCTTTGTCTGGCCCGTCCAGGAGTCCTAAAGAAATAGCAAAATTTTACAGTACCTTTGACGGATGGCAAGAGTAATTATATAAATCATTTTTTCAATTTTTTTATGTATATTTAAATATCTTTGTTTACAGAATTTTGCCAAAAACAGATAATACTTATTCACCTGGTTCTAAATACTACAAGTATGAAGTATCTCCTGGCATTCCTTTCATACCAAATATGTCAAGACCACCTCTTAAATCTTATGAGAAAACTCCTCTGAAATCTGATTTTTCAGAAGATCAGTTAGATAATATCTTTACATCTAGTCACATTAGTTAATATAAACTTCATTTATAGCTTGAAATGTGTATATTTTATTTTTGAAATTTTAATTTTGTAGAAAAAAAATTATTTACGTCTACAAGTTATAAACATTATAAAATAACAAATAACAACAACATTCAAACAGCTGAAGAAACATTAATTACTCAAACCAAAACTTCAAAATTTATAAAAAACCTGTTCAAATCTGTTGTAATATTCATCAAATTTATGGTTTCATGTTTTATTTCTATTTCTACTTTAACCGAGATACATGAGTCTATAATGGGTAAGTTGTACAAATTATCTAATTATATTTTTATCTATGAATTATTCCCATAATGAAAATATAATAGTTTATTATTTTTATTCATTAATGAAAGAGAACTTATTGTTAAGTTTAAAAATTAACATAAAATACTTTAAATTACAATATCTTTCCTTTGACACTTATGTATATATTTTTTAAATAAATATAAAATTGTATGACATTATTGAATAATTACTTTAAAGATATTTAATATTGGTAAAGGTGTATTTAATTTTTAAAATACATTTTCTTGAAGGTTATTATTATGTATATTATATTTATTTATAATTAATTCAGTATTTCTTTATCTTTATTTTAAGTATAATTGAATATATGTAGTTTAATTTATACTTTAAATAAAATCCTATTTTAGTTCTTACAATTGTATTATATTATAAATAATGTGTAAATTGCTTACATTTTGTTTTAAGTTCATATTGAATTTATTATTTGAGAATATTTAGATGATTAAAATAAAATTTTACAAATATTACTAAAAACTCAAAAACTGATAGTTATCATATATTATTGTGTACACTAAAAATTTTATCTTGTAATTTTTTGAATTATTTATATGTTTAATTAAATTTTAGAAATTGGATCAAATATAATTAATACTTCTATTCGAAAGATAACTAATTGGATACATTTAGCAACTATTACCATGGTTCACTACGATTTGATTTTCATCACAACTATACGAAAAATATTTGATCATTATTTTGGAAATACCAGATTAAACAGTCTAGTCATTCCAATATTATTTTCAGCGTTGATATTATTTTTAACTGGTATAACTTTACTACATTAATCTATAAATATTGTAAAACATTTATGATTTTTGTATTTTATAGTTGGTATTTTAAAGTACATAACACCTTTAGATACTATAATGTGGCAAGATTCTTGGACAAATTTTCTTCTATCACCGTTTATTAATATACTAAATTTGATTACTTCAATATATCAAATATTTTTCTCCACTTTATATTTTGTACTAGATTTAATAACTGTAATATTTGCTTCATCAACAGTTGCAATAAAACTTTTTGGTCAATTATTTTTAAATGTAAGTAGTATATCATATAATATAGTTGTTATGCTGTGAAATATGTAAAATTCAAAATTTATGTTAATGTAACATCTGGCATTTTTTAAGGTATTTCGTAATATTAATTCTGTAGTGAACTATGATACTCAAATTAATACTATTCCTGTTGCCCAATCTTCAACATTTTTACCATTTGATTATAATTTGCTGGCGAGAAAGGTTATAGCTTCAGAAGAATTTCAACGTTTAATTATCAATCAGTTAAATATTTCGCAATCAGATTTGATAAAATTTCAAGAACAAGAACTTCAACATTTACTTAAAATCCAATTTGAACAAATGAACTCTGAAAACTTAAATTGGATTAATGTAAATATATTTTACATTACCTATTAATTTTTAGTAAAACTTATTATATAATATATTCCATTTTATATATATATATATATATATATATATACCTTAAGTAATAAATTTATAAAATATTTAATGTAACAATAATACTCATAACTTTTCAATATTTTTAGGATCAGCTAAAAAACCACCAAATTACACTAAAAAATATTAATAGAGAAATGTCTGATCAAGAAAAAGAAACTATTCAATTGATGGAAAAAAAAATTTCCGAATTACAAGATAAGGTTTTACATTTAATCAACAATTTTGAAACATATAAATCTAAGTTAGGTGAGCAATATTGAGTAACTTATAACTATGTTTTTGTTTTGTATTTGTAAATTTACTTTACAATCATAGTTTAGATTCATATATTCTTTATATTTTTATCTTATCAATTCAAGCACTGATTGTATTTACAAATTTTACTTTTCTATAAAATATGCCATAACACGATACTATTGTTATTATATATAGTAAAAACAAGTACTGAATCTGTGTCAAAAGAAGGATGTCATAAAAATGATTGGAATTCAATTGTCAATTATATTGAACAGTATGTCAACATGACAATGAAATCTACACTTAGCATTTATGATGCTGACAAAACTGGAATGGTTGACTATGCTTTAGAGTCTGCTGGTAAATACTAAATATATAATATTTTTAAATTTTGAGAACTAAAGTTATTATTATTCTTAGGAGCCACTGTTCTTGGAACTCGTTGTACTCAAACTAAGCCATCAACAGCGGCTTTAACCATGTTTGGAATTCCTTTGTGGTTTATATCAAATGGACCTAGATTGGCTATTCAGGTATTAAAAATTATGAAGCTATTTATATTTTATATTTAACATATAAGTAATGTAAATATTTAATTTCGTAGAAAGTAAATTAATTTTAGAAAAATAAGTGTAAGTTTGTGAGCAAATTACATTTTTACATTTATCCTTCTTGAATAAAAATTGCCGAATTATTTGTAAATTATAGTACCAAAATAAATTAATATGATAAATAATAAAATAAAAAAAAGCTAAAGATTAAATATGCATTTTCAAGAAAATAGTAAAAATATTAGAAATATATTGATTTTTTTAATACATTTATTATTTTCACCCAATGCCTTGAATGTTTTATTTATAATAAATAAAATTTAACAACTTGGCTTTATCAGTAAGTTTTTAACTGAAAAATGTATAATTTTAAAATGTTTTTTTATTTAAGTTGTGATTGCCTATTTGTATGTTATTTTATTTTAGCCTGGTGTTAATCCTGGTCAATGTTGGGCATTCATTGGTGCTAAGGGATTTTTGGTGTTAAAACTCTCAAAAACTATACAAGTAACTGGTTTTACCATTGAACACTTACCTAGATCACTCTCAGAAAATGGTCAAATTAAGTCTGCCCCAAAAGACTTCAGTATTTGGGTTGGTATTATATCAATAAAATATATATTAATAAAACTCAAACATTTAAATATTTTTTTTTTTTTAATTAGGGATTGAAACATGAAACAGATTCAAATGGAAAATTATTGGGTAAATATCAGTTTAAAGTAGATGGACCCAGTTTACAATATTTTTCTAGTGTGGTAAGTGATAATAGTCAACAATATTACTTCATTAAATAAATCAAAAATGTTTGGATTCTAGGGAACAGAAAATGTTTTTTCCATTGTAGAATTAAGAATAGAGTCTAATCACGGACATGAAGAGTATACATGTCTATATCGTATTAGAGTTCATGGAGATCTGAAGCTTGATGGTACTTAATTATGAATCTTAAATAAAACGATTATTTTTAAATTCAATGTTTAATAGCATAAAATGTTTTTTTTTTTTAATTGGTTACCATTAGCCTTTTCATTTTGTATTCATTATTTTTTATCACCAAAGATTGAATGTTGTTTTTAATTAATTTTTTCATACCACTACAGTTACATTTTAGCTAAAATATTATAAGAAACATTTGATTTTTTTATTTTCACCGTGTTTTATATCTACAGGTTTGTGATTTTTTTAATGTATATTTTTTCATTTTGTATACACTATAAATTTTAATTCGTACAATTTTATATATTTGCTTAAAGTCAAATGCAAAGTTTTTAATTTAAAGATTTTTATGTTTAAATTTGTATAATTTAAACCACTGTTTTGTGTTATTATATTCTATTTTAAATTTAAAATGTTTTGTTAAATGTAAAATACTGACTGTATTTATTATTTTTTTTAAAATAAACCAAATGTAAATCAGTTTTTACTATATTATAATTTTATATTATATATAAAATGAGTATTTTTATTAAGAATTATTTTAATATTTCTTTTTTTGTTTTTATATAGAATTTCGTGTTGACTCTTAAGATGCATTACTTGCTCTCTTTGTAACTTAACAACAATTACTTTAAAAAGCCAGTTGCCAATGCAGATGGAAATTCAACAATTGGTTTCTTATTAAACAAAATAAGAGTTAAAGTATTTCTAAATATTTTCTAAGCCATTATAGCATATATTTTACAAATGAAGATGGAAAATACAAAAATTTAGGAAAATCACAATATTTTCAACCTCTTATCGCCTTCCATAAAGTAGTACAAAGACAGAACTAATGAATAAGATAATATACAAAAGTTCAACTCAATATAAGGATAATGATCAAAACAATTAATCCTTGAATAATAAAATTATTTAAATTGTAAAATTTAGATCAATAAATCAAATGAGCTGATGTAGCATTTTACTTAGGGCGCCGAGAGAATAGCAATGTTTTTGGTAGAAGTAAATATATATAATGATAAATACAGAACGGGTTCAATTAAAAAATTTAAAAATGCGGACACTGATTATCCTAGACTATCTTTACTTTCAACAAATTTACAAAAGTAATAACAATTTATAATTTAAGTATAAATGTAGATAACTGAGACGAATGTAGGTTTAGGACAAGAATGACTGACCCCAAATAGTTTGTAGAAAAGCGAAGAAGAAAAAAAATAACAATTTATAATTTAAAAATTGTGTTATAGATTCTGACTTAAGTGAGGAATGTATTGGTAATGTTTGGTTACTATAGTTATTATAGTGTATGATTTAATGATTTTTATTACTTTTTGTGTGTTCACACAATTTTTGACCAAAAGGATTTCTCCGATTATCAAAAATAATAATGGGTTTCTAATAGCAAATTTTATTTAGTTAGTGCATTTGGATGGTATTTTTTAATTTCTTAATTAAATTTCAAATAATTGAGAGGAACAGATGAACATTTTTAATAAATAGCATTATTTAAGGGATACTAGTTTTAATAAAATGGATTTTTTTTTTTTGTCATAACTCAAAAAGTAAATACTTGAAATGCAAAAATCAGTTTTATAGAGATAATATAATTTTATGTATAATTTAGAGATGTTTGAAATTTGCATGTTTACTTAGTTTTTTTCACAACATTTTCAATAAAATAATTTTGTTATTGTATTAATATAGTAAACTATAATTAGACATAAAAAGATTGATACTTTCATCCTCTTTGACTAAAATTAGTTTTTTGCAACTAATAATTCTTATGATACATTGATTTTAAATGTATAAGTTCTTTTATAGTTGAAATCAATTCACTTACACCAGTTACCTTTGTATTCACTTAGCTAATATAGGTCTACATTTAGTCCTTTTTAGATTCTCATTTCTAATTTTTGTTACATAATGTATAGTATTATAATTAATTATAGTCATTAAATTAAAATCAACATTTGTTAATTTTTTATTAGGATTTGCTACTCTTAAAGCATGCTGGCATAAGATTATTTGTTTGCGATTTTTCAGCCGATAGGCTGTTTGCACACACACCGATAAAATCGGAACCGGCACCGGTGTCGGATGCAATATAATTAAGTTAGTGCTTTTACACATAGACCGGACCGGTGGACGATTCCGGAATACGCAGTAGGCGTTGAATTCGATAATTCGAATGCCGGACTGATCTCCGAATTACCGATTTCAATGTTTCCTTATACAAACGTGTACACACAGGTCTTGTTGGTACCGGGGGCAACCTAAAAATAATTATATTGGTGTGATATATATGATATTATGTGATATCACTTTCATAAACTTTCATACTAGTTTAGTATTGACATCGATCTTGTCGTTTTGTGTATCAAAAATGACCTAATTGTTTAAGTACGACGTTGTCACTTTGATTGAGCTCGTGAAAAGTAAACCTTGTTTGTGGGATTAGAACAAGCTTTAAAGACAAGAACAGAGAAAATAACTTACACACGACACGACACTTAAACACCTAAGCGAGTACAAAAACTGTTAAACATGGTTTCCTCGTTATGTATGAAATAAAACCGGCACCGACTTAATTTTACCGGTACGTGTGAAAAAAGCGAACAACCGGTATTGGCACCGGCGCTGGCTCCGGTTCTGATTTTATTGGTGTGTGTACAAACGGTTTTACGATTATCAACTATATAGCTTATCAGTTATATAATATAATATTCATAATTATTATATAATTTGTTAAATCATAACTGTTCACTATAATATCGTATAGTTCATTAATTATTTATGGTTAAATGGGCATTTTTGACTTTAAATGTTACTGTAGGTTCAAATAGATAGAATTTTAGAACTCATTACGTGACGATATTAAATTTTTGTATTTAGTACATAATGATATCCATACTGGATCAGTTTGAACAGGGCGTTGAAAATTCATATAAAACAGCATCTACGTCTAAACAATTAGTAAAACTTATTTAACATTGCAATTCAAATTAAATTTGTTAAAATTGTTATTTACATTTGGACTTAGATGGATGAACATTTTGATGGTGATGCAGAAACTAGAAAAATTCCTATTTTGTCAAAGAAGAAAGTAAACTTTTCTCCGAATGAAAAAATTTCTCAATTATTAGTAAGCAACGAGTATGTTGTATTAGCTTTGGTTAATAATGTATTACAGCGGATAAATTTAAAACAAGATAGTATTGAAGGTGAGATTGATATTAGTACAATAGGTAATGAGTATAGTTGTAATACTTATAATTCTTTAATATAAAATACACATTTTAATATTAATACTTTTGAAATAATGGATACAATTTACAATTAGAAATTGATACTTTGAAAACGTCATCTCTCAAAGTAAAGCAATTATTTCTTGATCCTTTTGGAGAACACTTATTAATTTCATGTGGGAATATAAATAGTTCTCATCTATTTTATGCTACTAAACAATTACCTAAACTCAAACCGGTTAGTAAAAAATTATATATAGTATTAACTTTTTCTTGATGTTATAAAATCTTTGAAATTTATTAAAATGTTGGTGTTAAAAGGTTGGTAAATATCAGGGTTCAGAAATAACTTCTGTGGCTTGGAATTATGATCTTAAAGTGAAGTCTACATCTAGTACAACTGGACCTATATTGCTTGGTAATTCATCTGGTACAATAATTGAAACACAATTGGGAACGGAATTTGATAGATTTTTCCAAGGCAGTGTTGTTCAGTATTGGAAAGAAGTATGATATTACTGTTAATATATAATGTGATAAATTAAATATCTGTATAAGTCATATTTATAGGTATTTGATATAAGTAAAGGGCAACCTACTCCTATAATCGGTCTTCAATATCATAAAGTTGGAAATTCAGATTTATTTTATATTTTGGCAATCACATCTACAAAGTTATATCAATTTGTTGATAATGTATTGAATAAAGATGAAAGGCCGATGTTACAACAAATCTTCAATAATTATTTGACTATTCCAGGTTAGTTTAGTTGTATTTTATTTTAGTATTTTTCAAGTTATAATTTGTTCAATTTTTTTTTTTTACAATTTATTTATAAAATATCTGTTATTATTTTTTAAGTTTAACTCTACAGTTATGATTTAACTTGAAAATATGAAAGATTCAGTAGAAATAATAATTTTTATATTTGTATATAGAACGTTTTTATGAAGTTCCCACTGTGGTCAAACATAGCAAATTAAATTTTTATTTCTTGAATAATGACTTTACTGTTCCTAAGTATTTTGGCTTCCTTACCGAGCTTGGAATATTTTTTGCAGAGGTAAACTATTATTTTTATAAAATAAAATCTCTTTATATCTTTGACATCTACTGTAGGTTGATATAAACAAAGATGATAAGACAATATTTAGTTCACATGAACTTATAGAGTATAGTCGATTATATGGAAGAGAAGATGATGATTTTACTGTACCGCTATCAATGACATTCACACGGTACCATGTATTGTTGTTGTATCCAGAAAAAGTCTTAGCCGTTTCATTAGTAGCTCCTGCTGATCGCAGTATAACACAAGTGATGGATGAAGATTATTTTTCTGATGTAAATCCTTTAATATTTGGTTGATATTTATTTTTCTTGTTTAATAAAAATAATAACAAATATTTTAGGGTCATGGTAGACTTTTGAATGTAACAAAAGATTTAATTACTGGAACAATTTGGCTGTATGCTGAACGTGCAGTTTTTAGGTATAAAATAACTAAAGAAGATCGTCATGTTTGGAAAGTATGGAATTAATAATTAACAGTTTAGAGAATATTAAAGTATTAAATTCTAATTTTGTTTGATTTTGGAGGTTTATTTAGATAAAGGAATGTTTGAGGAAGCTAAGGAAATATGTCTGAACAACCCTTACAGAATGAATCAAGTGTTACTTAAACAAGCAGAAAATCTTTTTGTTACTGAGCAGTAAATAATTATTTTATTATAATTTTTAAATTTATCACAACATAAAAATATTGAATTATTTATAATTACTTACTGCTTTTTAATTTTTTTTTTACAGATATGAAAAAAGTGCATTAATATATGCTAGCTTAGATGTTTCATTTGAAGAAATTGTTTTGAAATTTTTACATTTAAATGAAAAAAAGCCAATCAAATTATTTTTAGTCAAAGTATGATCAATTACATTATTTTATAAATGTTTAAAGACTTCAATAAAGCATTTCTGTCCATAGAAATTAGAAAGTCTAAAGCCCCAGGATTATACAAAAATTACAATGATTACACTATGGTTGATTGAGCTGTTTACCACTGAATTAGCAGTACTTAGAAACAATAAAAAAGAAAAATCAAAAGAATATATTGTGTTACAAGATTCATTTAAACAATTTTTATTGCAACCTATTATTCAAGTAAATATCTAATAATTTATGTTATAAATTATAGTTATTACTATTTTTTATTTTATTTAGGATTGTGTTCACAAAAATTGGGAAAGTATATATGATATATTGGCTAGTCATGGCGATGTGCAATTTATGATTTGGTTAGCATTAGAAAATCAAGATTATAGGCGTGTTGTACAACACTATTTAAATGAAGAAAATATTGCTGAAGGCAAGTTAATTTCTGAGTGAATTTTTTGTTGAACATTTTTTTTATATATTTTAGTTAATACAAGAACAAACATATTTAATGTTTTTGGGTTATATTAATATTATCCATAATTATTTATCTTTCAATTTCAGCATTAAATATATTGGATAATCATCCATTCAGTGAATTATTTTATACATTTTCTTCTGATCTTATTGAAAAAGCTCCAGTACAGACTGTATCTATTTTAATTAAACAGGGACATAAGTTAGACCCTTTAAAAGTCATTAATGAATTAATCTTTCCAAATTCTAGCGAAAGATTAGTAAGTTTATAAACAATACTTCATAACATTATTATTATAACTACAAATTAAATATATTAAAATTACAGGCTTTAGAAATAATTAGATACTTAGAATATAGTATTCATTGTTTGAACTGTAACGTAGAATCTGTTCATAATTACCTGATATCTCTTTACATCATATACAATAAAGATAAGTTGATGAATTATCTAAAACTACAAGGTCGGGAGATATCAGGTATAAGCTATAATCCAAAATTTGCATTGAGATTGTGTCGTGAACATCATTTGGAAGAAGCTTGTGTACAATTGTCTATTGTTTTGGGTTTATGGGAAGCTGCTGTGGATTTAGCATTGAAAGTCAGTATTGATTTAGCTAAAACCACTGCTTCATTGCCTAATAATGACATGGAATTATCAAAAAAACTTTGGCTCAAGATCGGTGAGTTACAAACACAACAGTGGAAGCATAAATGTTATTTTTTTTTGATTTTTTTTAAAGCTCAATATGTGGTTGAACAAAATAATGATATAGAACAAGCCATGCATTTCTTAGAGGAATGCAAGTTTATCAAAATCGAGGACATCTTACCATTTTTCCCAGATTTTGTAACAATAGATCATTTTAAAGATGCAGTTTGTTCATCTCTTGAAGTAAAAATATTAAAATTGTTATAAATTTTTGTTATTTTTTTAAATTAAATCAATAAAATAATTTTTATACATTTTTTAAAGTAAATGTAGTATTTGAAATTATTTATAGGAATATAATCAAGACATTCAAAATCTTAAAGAAGAAATGGAAGATGCTACTAAATCAGCTGAAGTAATAAGGTCGGAAATTTTGTCATTTAGAAACAGTTACATGTTAATCCAACCATCAAATGTGTGTAGTAGCTGTCAGGAACAATTGGCAACTAAAGCATTTTATACATTTTCTTGTTCGCATAATTTTCATGCAGAATGTTTGATCAAAGAAATGCAACCATACATTGATTCTAGTACATTAAATACAATAAAGGATTTACAAGTAAAATCTTATGGATTAATTAGTTGCTATAGTATTTAAATTAAATATAATATATTTTAGAATCAGCTTAGTACCATGTATCAAAATAACAAAGATTCTTCTCAGTCAATTAAAGTCATTAGTCGACGAGATAAAGTTAAAGAATCTTTAGATAAATTGTTAGCAGCAGAATGTTTTTTCTGTGGTGATATTATGATCAGGTAAAATGCTGAACAATGAATATTTGTAAGATTTCAAGTTATTATTTTTAATATATAAATAAATAAACAAATTTACTTAACAAATATAATAGTACTCCAAGCTAAGTATTTATTTATTTATTTATTTAAATGTTAATTTACGAGTATTTACCAATTAATTATTTTTATTTTGTTTTATTAATTTTTTTAGTCTCATCAATAAGCCTTTTATAGAAGACGGTGATTTTGAAAAGATAAGACAAGAATGGGAATAAAATGATTTAGTCAATACCAATTAATACTTAAGTAATAAAACTACTAAATAATAAACTTATAATGTATACACTTTTTTTTTATCCTATTTAACATATAATTTTATAACTATTGAAATAAATTATAATATAATTTTATATAATTATGATTCAATATTTTCTTTATAAATTATGATGTACATGTTAGTGTTTAACTGCGTGAACATGAAACTCAACTCCAAGAGCATTTTATTTAATTTGTATTTATAATGATCTCAAAAGATTATTAAATATTATCTATATTAATTATTATATGAAATGTTCTTTGATTGCCATGAATTATTTGTAATTAAAACTATACAGATATTTTAAATATTATATAAAAATATTGATTGTTATTTTATTGTTTATTTTAAAATTAAAATTAATATTATAGAAAATGAATTATTTTAAATAATATATTAAATTCGTTTTAAGATAAATTTCATATTTAAAACTGAAATATCTAATAGTAATCGGTAGATATTTCAATTTAAGGGCATGTTATAGAAAATTAAGTTTAAGAATGCTAAGTTTTCAATTGACAAGTTTTAGAATATTTTATTACTATAGTAGAATTAAAATAAAGTTACATATCTGTGATTGGAGAGATGAAAAGTATAGAAATATAAATTCTTTATTATTTTATTGTGTTATTCTTCATTCATAATCAAGTTTTATCTTATTTTTATTGTTTTGAATTTATTTGTTTATTTGAATTACTATACAGTTCCATTTCATGATTAGTTTAGGTCTAATGGGAAAGAAGGATTATCAAAAGTATTTTACTCAATTATTTTAATCATTCAATAATAACTATATATAATTATGACTTTTAATATTTGTAAATTAATAAATTATAATAGTATATTATGTTGATAATGTAAAGTAAATAAAATAAATATTACTTATAGTCTGTATTTTAAATGTTCTATATATATATATATATATATATATATATATATATATGTTCTAGAAGTCATGTTTGAGATGATTTTTTAAAACTGCATTCTAAAATTTGCTTCAGTTATTTAAGGCTTTCATCCCTATGATAATTTCTTCTTAAATATTCTTATTGCACATTTTTGTATAGACTGTATATTTTACAATAAAAATGTAATAAATTAGATAAATATATATTATATATTATTTACTGAGTCATATTATTTTAAAAAGATAAACAACAAATAATAAAAATTTCATAATTTGTTTATAAAAATTACCTTTTATTTTATAACTTTCAAAAATTTACTCTAAAATGTGACTAGATTTTTCAAAGCTGTTCATATTTTGGACAGTGGAAAATTTATGAGATTACCATTAGCAAAAACATTATTTGGGTCTAAAACTTTTTTAGATGCATTGTAAAGTGATAATAATGTATTGGACATGTGTTTTTCATACCAATGAGCTCTAAGTTTTCCCACACCATGATGATGAGATATTGACCCACCAGAAGCCATAATAGTGTCACGTGCTATTGTTTCAATATGATGGTAAGTTGATACTGGATCATCTAATCCGGTCCAATTAAAACCAAAATAAAAATAAACACAACAACCAGAATCATATGTTTGTGTTACACGGCAGCTAATTAAATAATACTTGATATTGAGTTCTAAAAGATCAAAAACATATTAACAAATTAACCAAAAAATTAAATAAAATTTTTCACTTACTATTACATTCATTTGCCACAGTTCTTTTAACATTATCACATAAGCTAAGAGTCTTATCCCAAGAAACTGATGTTTCAAATGATTCTGCTACAACTCTGTATTCTAATGCTAAATCCTATATAATTTTTTTATTAAAATTTTTAAGGTCTAAGAATTAAATATGAGGTGTAAAAAAAATACCAGGACAAATTATTATTTAAATGAATAATTAATGTAAAGGTAATAACACATATCTATATAAAAAATAGATAACAGGTTAAAGCCATGAGTTAGTATTTGTTTTAATTGTACATTACAACTTATACATCAAAATATATAAGTTCTCAAAATTTTTATACATTTTGTCATGGAGAATAAATCAGAATAGATGTGTTTGCATAAAGTTTTTTGGTTAGTTTGATAAATCAGAGAATGAAACTAATAAAAATGTTAAATATTTTATTTAAAGTTTAAACAATAGTAAATAAAGAAAATTTTTATAATAAGATTTGCAGGTCATTCAACTTATGCAATTTTGACATAGTTCTAAGTTAGACTAACATTTAAAAATTTATTTATATCAATGATTTTTATAATCAAATAAATCCTAATATTTTTTAAAAACACCACAGAAAGTTTAATATTTCTTACACGTATATAAGCTATAACAAAAGTCAGCATATACCCTCGTTCTCCATTTCTTTCTCCTGCAGTGACACCTCCAAAAGATACAGCTATTTTAGCAATGCAATTTTTATGTGACATCACATCTGATTTTTTACCTAAACATAAGTAATAAAATCTTTAAATTATACTGTTTTATAAGATAGAAAGTAACAAGATTAAATCACCTTCAAAGAGAAGTGTCATGACACATATTGAATCTAATCGAAAACCATACACACGAGTTAAATAAGTTTTTTTAAAAGAGTCTAACACATTTCGGTAAGTATTCTCAACAGGACGTAAAGCTTGACCAAATCGAAATTGTGTATTATCCATTAATCGAATAGACACTGGTTGACATCGCTACCAATTTAAGTATGATTATTAAATAGAACTACTTAAATTTTAAAATAAAAATTAGAAATATACTTGTTTGGCTACTTCTCTCATACATTTTACTCCAGACTCAAAGTCAGGAAAAACTACAGAATCATAAACTCGACAGTCTGGAAGTGGTCGAATTTTTAAAGTCACTTCAGTAATTATTCCTAATGTACCTGCAAAAAAAAAAAAAAAAAAAATAAGCAATTACAATAAAATAAAAAGAATGATTAATAATAAACCTTCCGATCCTAAAATAATTTGTTGAAAATCTGGCCCACTAGACATTCTTGGGACTTTACTATTTTTATGAATGACTCCTCTAGATGTGACCATTTTTGCATCAATTACTAAATCTTCAATATTTCCATAAACATTTTTTTTCATGCCTGATGCTCTAGTCGCAACCCAACCACCTAAACTATTTTACAGAAAATATATTACATTTAAAAGATTCTAAAAATAATAGAAAATATAATTATTAATTCAGCGACGCCCAAAAATATCAGTTATTATAAACATGGAAAAATAAAAAAATTATAAATACAAGCTTCAATACTAAAAATAATAAAAATAAAATAATAAAACCAAATTCAAAAATACAGGTAACACACAATAAAATAACACAAGTAAAAAATGATAGTAATAATAAATATTAAATACAAATAAAAGGAAACTTACTACTTTAATGATTGCTACAAAGGCTACACTCGATTTTTTTTATTTCAATGAATACCTAGAGAACTCGTATGAGTCGGGTTCATGTCCACATGTATAACCTCGTTTGTTTAGTTCACGTTCTAAATCTTGACCAATAACTCCAGCTTCAAAACACACCAGTAAGTTTGATTCATCCAACCACAATAAATGATTCTGAAAATGTTAATCAAAAGTTGAGTTGATTTTTATAATTACAATAATGTATTTATACAGTTGGCTATTTTAATAGTTACCATTTGTGAAGTATCTACACTAACTATACATCTTTTTTCATTTAAAGGGCAAGTTACAGCTCCAGATACACTAGTTCCCCCGCCAAATGGAATAAGTACAATGTTATGTTGATTAACCAGCTCAACTATTTTTATTACATTCTCATGATTTACTTAAATAAAAACAATAATATAATTATCCTGTTTCTGTATAACATACACATTAATAAATAAAAACTAAATAAAACATACCAGGCCACACTACAATATCGCATATACGTGGAAAACATTTACCATGTCTTAGAGAGTAAATGTCATACAGTGTTTGACCATGAGAACGTGTAAGTCGGGCTAAACCTTCTATTGTATAATCAATTTTTGTTTTTTTTAAGGCATCTAAGAAATCTACATAATTTAAAATAAATTATATTTAATTAAATTATAATTATAATAAATTAACTAGATTATTAAACAAAGGAGATACTAACTAATTGGTATATTGGGAGGTGGAAGCTCTTGAGGACCAAACTTTTCTCTAGGCACATTCCTTAAAGTAAGATCAATATTTAATACTTGTTGGACCCATTGAGTAAAAAAAGGCAAATCAGTTTCTCCAATAGAGTACCTGTTGGAGAAAAAAGTATCAAATCCAATATTAATAATTATGATTTTAAAATTAAACAATTCATCCAGATACGAGTAACAACAAATCCAATAACACATACATAGAAAAAACATGTTTTTTACATGAATATCAACACATGATTAAATTAAGTCATACCTTTTGCCTGTAAAACGAATCATCCCTTTGTCGGTGACTTTAAATTTTGAATCTTTATAACCCCAACCGTTCCACTTTAGAACTTTTGATCTAAGTAAGAATAAAATATTTTATACTCAGAAACAAGTACGAATAATTGTTTTAAATTTTTTGAGATACAAGCACTAACCTGTTCTTCGGGATGACACTTTGAATGTTTGTGACTAAGGGTAAGGATTTTTTAAGAGATTCTCGATCATCCTTATCGTCCATTGAGAAACGTAAATCAGCTCGCAAAATATCAAAAACAATGTTTAATTTAATTAAAATAAACTAATAACTATAAAGTTCGGTTCAGAAAATTAGCAAATCTTTTGTTAGACAATTGGGATACTTGAAAAAAAAAATGACATTAGCCAACAAATTGATTAGGTATTGATATTGTCGGCTAATATAATACCGTGAAAGTGATAACAGCGATTAGTTTCAAGAGGGCGTAATAGGTACGTTATGAAATTTCATTTTATGGATCAGCGGCGCCCATCTTTTTTTGATCCACGACTCTCAAACTGTTTAATTTCGATCAGACGATCCTTCTTACTAACATTATTAAAAGTGTGTTATATATATATACATATTTACAAAAATGTTATTCGTATAAATTAAATTGTTAATTTTAGGCAATTTTAATATTTTTTTTTACTTAATTAATTAAAATAATAAAAAAATAAAATAAAAAATACATCATTAGAGTTTTATAGAAATATAAAGTTATATAAAATAACATACAATTTTTTTTATTTGATTTTAAATTATTGGCGACATCCAAGTTGTGCACCATTGTTATAGATCACGTATAAAATTAATAGGATTCTCAACGTATACTCTATATAATCTATAAGCCTTGGTAATAGACATAAGCTTGCACAGACATTACTGGTAGGGTGCCGTACATAACACATTAGTATTTATTAATAACAACAAATTTGTATGGGATAATTTCACTTAACTTAATAATTATATTTTCCTAATACTTTTATACGTGTATTTACCGTTTACGAACATTTTGAAGTAAATTAACATAATATGATTATTTATTATTGTAAAAATATTGAATATTTTGGTGAAGGAGGGAAGGTTCACCGAATAGTCACGTGCTTATTCTTACTACCCATGGACACGCTTCTGGTAATTAGTGACGGTGCTATAGTTTGCGAGGCCCTGGGCAAAATTAATGTTGGGTCTTATAATTTATATAAATAAAATATTTTAAGTTCAGTTAAATCAGAACCACGGGGCCTTAATTATAATTTAAGGCATGGGGCCCCGGGCAACTGCCCCTATTGCCCACCCCCTCGCGCCGTCTCCGATGGTAATAGGAATGTTATGGAATTTTAAATTATAGATCGCAGACAAAATTAATTTTATCCATGATGATCATATGCACGGATACATATAAACTATTATTATATACATATCCTATGTGATAAAAAGAAAAAATAACAATATAGAAATTGATAACAAAAGAAGATAATCACAGTGAGTGGTGACAACATTAAAAATAACAAAAACTCGGTTGAACGTAAATACGACCACGAACAATAATAATTGTTCGGAATGGTTCGATTTTCGTTCAACTACAGTCGAGTCTGAGAATGCGTTTGAAATGGAAGCATACTATATGTGGGAGCGGGTGCACATAACTGAGGATATGAGTCGGTCGAGCAGCTACTGCGACTGCACCACATATTCCTGCTTTTTAATATCCGTCTTCTTGTTCACGTTGGGCACCATCATTTTAGTGTTCTCGTTGGGAGCGTTCGCTCTTGACACCGTGTTCGCCAATCTGGGCCATATGTGGATTGTTGGTTTGCTGTGCATCTGTTCTGCTGTTATGATTGGAATTAGAAACGTCTTATATCTGCGCAGACTTCAACAGATAGAAGTAACTACTATTAATATAAAAATTTTGCGGTAATTTTTCTATTGCCTTTGTTGCAAAAATCAAAAAAAAATCCTGTTCTTTCAGGACATTCGATCTCAACAAGCACAGTTGACAGACACTCAACAGTATTCCTTGCCAATACGTACAGTTAGTGAACTTACTTTGCCTCCATCATATGAGCAACTGATTGGCAGTCATAATGATAATGATGACTTACCACCTCCATCGTATGAGGAAGCTATAGTTAGTATGTCTAAAGAAGCAACCAAAAGTGATAACATTATTGTGCTTAATTATTCTGTTAAATGATTTGTTAAACATAACTAGAGGGGTATTCAATTGAAACAGTACAATATTATCATCAAGAATTTCTTACCAGAAACCTGATTATTTGATGGTAATAACTTAACTGACCTACAAAAATATTGGTTTATACTAAATTTGTTTTACAAATTATATCAAAATATGAAATCATCTGTTTCATATTTATATATTTTTTGTCAGTTATAATTTTTGACTATATAATGAGTATTACCTATTGAGGATTAGAATAAACAAATTTTAGTCATATTATATTTTAACACTAGGAACAATTTTAAATATTTAATTAAGACATTTTATTTTTTTTATTCAAATTTTTATTTGTGATCTCAATGAAAAGAAAAATGTTAAAATTGTATTCAATAATGATTTAAATGGATAAGTATTACTTAGACGTTTTACCAATTAATTTTGTTTTATTTTACATGTTATATTATATGCCAAATGTAACATCCAAACCAATTTATTTGTTTTAATATTATTATTGAATATAAGTTTTAGAAGTATTGTACAAAAATTATTAAAAAGCATATAACTCTTTTTGAAGGTCTCTATAGTTAAAGATTAATAAAAACAGTTGGATTAAAATGTTATCCAAATGATTTTTTCACATGATAAGTTTATTATTAGAAATCCGTATTTTGAATATTAATCAGAAAAATTTAACATAAGCCAACACTGATTCTTATAAAATCTAATACAATTATTGGTATTCCATTTTTGGAGCTATAATTTTAGTTTTTAATTAATAGTCAAAAGTCTGTTCTGGGATGTACTTATTTCAATAACTCACTATTTTATTTACTTAAAATCAAATATATTTCATAATTTTCTTAATCATTAATTCGTAGTTTTCAATAATCAATGTATTTCATTAAAAAAAAATAACTGTAAATTTAGAAAAAGTAATCAAATCATTTTGATTTATCATATGAAATATCAAAAAAATAGTGAAAAATGATTGGATTTTTATAATTATTCAGAAATTAAAAATATTACTATTATTTAGATGTATTTAATGTAGACAGTATTGTTTTGAATAATAATTTATAAACTATTTCTAATATTTTAAATATTTAATTAAATTAAATGTATATATAGATATACTTCAATTATGTTAGTTATTTGATTTTCCTTTGTTAATTTTAACTAGAAAAACCTTTCATATATTCCACATAGCTGACACAGTTTTGTGATTGTATACATAAATATAAAAATATATTCATTAATATTATAATTTATAACTGTATTAGTCTTCCCATTTATTTAAATCTTTGTCTTCAAAATGTATCTTATAATCTAAATACCAATTAACTATTAATAGTAATTTTTTTTTAATATTTACAATGCAAAAATAATAAATTAAATTTAAAACTAGATTGCTTTTAATGAGGTTATGTAATATTATTGTTTTATTGCCATTTCTGTTTAGGATTAAAAAAAAAAAAAAAAAAACATGAATGATCAAGTATATCTTAATTTTATCAAAAGAAGTAATATTTATCTTTATTGTTTTTCTGTTCTAACTTTATTAAATAAACGCACAATAATATGTATTGTATTATTTTATTATTTAAATCATACTAACAGAAGTAATAACTGTAAATAGTTAATTTGTTTTAATATAATTTCATATAAAAGTACGAGTTAAAATCAATTAAAAACCATATACATCATTAAATGTAATTTTATTAATTAAAAAATATGTCTAAAAATATTATAAAATACAAGATGATCCATATGCACATAGGATATATATTAATATTTTAATGTATTTAATTATTTACTTAAATTAGTTGTTGATTTTCTATGATAAAATATATGTATTTGTGGTAAATATAAATATTTTGAATTTAAAATTTCACTTGATTTTTTTTAATGTCTCACTAATCAATATTTTGTGTTATTACTTACTATCTATGACTACCATTGTATAATAAATATATTTAGTTGGCAATTGTGATATTTATTAATAATAATTATGATACAAGCATGTAGTATAATCATTTTTTGAATGTGTGTATTTATGAAATAAATAAAACTATTAACATATAAATTGGTATTTGAAAAAAAAACAGATTTTATTACAGAAAATATAACTTTAACACACCCTACTAGACAATAACCTATTTTTCTTCTGTATTTAAAATTTATATTGAAAGCTAATTTACAGAATATAATATTAAGAATATGAAGAATTATGATGGCCATAACATATAGCTTTATAAAAAAACAAAATGATCAAAATTATATTTATTGTTTTATCCAAATACAAAAAAGAAAAAAAAACAATTCAATTATTTTGTTTCATCAAATCATTCAAAAATGCTTACTCAATTACAGTTACTTCTTCTTTAACTAAAAATTCGACCTTTTCTTCTTCAACATTCTTACGGTCAGAATCTAATTCATCAGTATCAATATCTGTAATAAAACAAACAATAATCATTTTTTAATTTTAATATATACTCAGTATTTGGTTGTTTAGTGTCACAATAAATAAATACAATCTTTAGTGAAAATAATATATTAATGGGGATACTATATCATACTACATCATGAACTATATAGAAATTATATATTAATATATAATTAATATTCCATTTTTTCATTAATCCCTGCAAATTAAGAAATGATGAAGTTTGAATATACAAACATCATATATTGTGTAAAATATAAATTTCTTATTTAATAAAATAAATCACCTATTACGAAGGAAGACACAGTGTAGAAACGAAAGAAATTAACCAAGTTAGTGATATAATGAATTAACTATAAATATACCTTTAACAGGATGATAAATTTTAAATAGTGCAAAATCAAACAAGTACTAAATATTCATATACATGGGGTTATAGTCTTATATATGATTTTTTTTTTTTATTAAACAGGTAATAATATGTATGCTATGTAATACTAAAATTATTTTTTTTATCTTATTAAAAAAAAGTGACTTACGTTTTCTTAAAGACATTCTTTCAGCCTTTTGTTTATTCCAATCAGCTAAACGTTTGCTGCGGTATTCTTCAAATTCTTTGATTAATTTACGACGTTTATCAATAACTTCCTATTTATAAATAATAATAAAAAAAAAAAAATTTAGAATAAATTTAATCAATAAAAAATAATCTCATCAATAAAACCTTAGATGCTTTGGACATTCTCATTTTATCTTTAGTTTCAAATTGAGATGTGTATTTTTTCAAACTCTTCTTGATATCCTTTTGTTGCTTGGCACTTAATAGGGTAGGAGGCCTAGGTCTCCATTGCATGTGACAGTAGGTATTTGTATTGAATCTATTTAATATTCTGCCTTGGAATGACCATATCCAATAGCCAGTGTCTCCCTATTAATATATATTGGCATGATTAAATAAGAAAATAAGGATATTTTTACTTTTTAAAATATAAAATACAATTTAGATACTTCAATGAAATCCTATTCATATATGATAATGAACTTATAAAAGATTAAATGACATTTTAAGAAATATTTAATTTTAAGATTATTTAATACATTTGAAATTCAACAATATATTTTACAAAATTTAACTATAAGTATTTTTCAAAAATATATTTTCATACCTTAGTCTTCCATGAGCTTACACCAGTAGCAACAAATCTTCCAGTGGGATCCCATTCAATGTCAGTCGCTTTATAATGTTCTGTAGAACACATGGTAGTAAAGTCTGCTGTATCCACAAATTCCAAAGCTCCAGAATCACGGATTTCAGCAATAACAATATATTGCCCAGCAGGCGACCAAAACAAATGACTGCAGAAATGTTTGTCTAATTTCTCTAAAGAAAAAAATATTACAAATTATTAATTAAAAAGTTAAAAATACTATAATATAAAAAAGCAATTGTATATTTTTAAATAATACCAAGTTTAAATAAATTAACATACTTAATAAAATTGGAGCTTGACCAGATTTTACATTATAAAAACTAACACTATTATTGCTAGGTTCACCGTGAATAATAGCAAACTTTGAACCAATAGGTTCCCAAGCAAATGCATGAATTGGTTCTTTAATTTCTACACTATCCACAGGTATGTTCTTTTCTCTCATATGGAATATTTCAAAATTGTAGTACATACCCTATAAAATATATTTAACTATACAATTTCAAATCATCAAATTGTTATATATATGGAAAATAAATAAGATTAATTCTTACACTGTACTTTACATCTCCCTTTTCACGTTTAATTTTTGCATATCGATCGACTTTGACACACAAATAGTCACCAGCTTTTTGCCAATGAATTTTACAGTCGGCTACATTGAATAAATTGTTGGCACGAATTTCCTTGCGACTAAAATCATTAATATATAATTTAAGCTAAGATAACCAAAACTTAAAAGAGCAATATTTTAATTCAAATTTGTATTTACCTGGGTATTTCTAAAAGTACTACACGAGCTGGAACATCTTTGTCTTCTGCAACCCAATAAGCAAGCACATTATTCCTAGGAGACCAACTGAAATCTCTAATACCATTAACTGTTATACTTTTCTTATCCAGTAAACCAAAAGACTACAAACAATTAACATTTTTAATTTGTGTAAAACATCTTTTTGATTTTCAAATACTTACAGGAGTTTCATAAACACTTAAAGTATTATGTCCAATTCGAGCAAAATATTTATCATCCTTAGACCATCGTAGTATTGGTACAGGTCCACCCATGGGAGCATCTGAAATAAATGATCGCTTTTCTGCTCCAGTACGAATATCAAAAATGGTTAACTTTTGTTCACCATTGTCTAATGGAGCATATGCCACTAAATATCTAAATAAAGAGTACATGGATTTTAACGGTGAATTTAATTTTGTATTGTATTTATACAAATAATTTACTGTTCACATGGAGAAAAATCAACGAATTGAACATTACGATGAGAGAGCTTTAAAACATTTGTGAAATTTGGTCCACCCCAAAGGACAACACCTTGTTTGTGAAGTGTTGCCAAATAAGTTCCAAGAGGTGACCACATAATTAAAGATTCAGTCCATTTCTTTAAAATAAAATAAATTTTAATTAATAAACTAGAAAAAAATAAACAATTAACTTACTTCACGTTCAACTAATTTTGTTGGTTGTGGATTGCTGTTTAACCAAACTTCAATGTGATTGTTTACATTATATACGTAGTATTGATCAAAAGCATCAGGTTCCATCAAGAAATATTGTAGATTAGGTCTTTCTGGGAATGGCTGTGGAGTTGGCGGTTCCCATTTTTCAGGAATATCATTATACCTTAATAATATATTTAGTTAACAGTAATACATATTCAAAATTAAACATCATTTGATTATTAGTCATAGATGGAATACAAGAGTTGACATTAATAGCAAAATATAAATTAAAATTAATAACTTACTTTTTATAGTCCGAGAATAAATTGATTAAAAATGTATGTTGCTTATCAAGTTTGTAATTATTAGCTTGTGTAACAGCTTCTAATGCACTTTCATGTTTTTCATACTCAATAAATATGTATCTAATAGTTTAAAATAAAAGTAAATAATAAGGAATTTAAGAAATACAATTATAATTTAAAAAAATATGTACCCTTTGGTATGACCATTCTCAGTTTTTGGATAGTAATCACTAGTGATCTTTCCAAACTGTGCGAATATTTTCGTTATTACTTGCTTAAGCTTGTCAAAACGTTCTGGATTGACTTGGGGAACACCGTCAACAATAATGACCGTATCAACACCATCAGATACTTTAGGTTTCCTCTGAAGTACGTCCTCAAGCAACTCTAGGAATCATTAATGAATTGTACTCAACGTTATTGATTGTATACCGACGCCTTTATATAAGAGTATTTCGGTATTACCTTCGTCGCTTATGTCGTCTACAAAATTTTCCAATTCGTTGGCCTCAGCATCGTCCTTATTGTATTTCCCTTTTTGACCATCTTCGTGCTTCTCGGAATCTTTTTTCTTGGCCATGGTACACGAATGGGTTGCTTGAAGTCAATTGAAAAAAGTTAAGATGACAAAATCGGAAAATGCAATAATGGGACGACTTAGTAAGTCGAAATATAAAGCTTAAGAAAAAAAAGACAACATTAGAAACTTATTTTTAAAGGTTAGGTTTCTGATTACGTGTGGATGCCGCGGCAGCGGTGGGCCGATGCCGTTACCATCAGTCTAGCCAACCTTTACCGCTACTAAACACACGAAAATGATAACCTATTCGATATCGTCTTAAGCGAGCCTCACACTATCAGTATTACTGTCAGTTAAAATATTGACAGTACCTATTTGTTTTTCATACTGACAGTACATTAGTACTTACCTCACACGATCAATAAAACTGTCAGTATTACTGATCGTGTGAGGCTCACTTTAGCGAGAATTGATATCATTGGTATCTTCTCAATGCATTATCGTTAGCGACAACCGTGGTCACGTGGTGTGACAACTTAGTAATGAACCTTGTACTAGGGTTGCCATATGTTAAAGCGAAACCGGGACAAAACAAACACATAATTGAATAATATACTTTTTATATAACTTTTAATATACTGAGAGGACCATAAATGGCCGGCAATATAATATTTGAAAATATTTATGTAAAATAAAATACATTATACAGAGTGTTGCACGATAAATGTATCAAACTTCAAGAGGTACTTAAACATCGCAGATGCAACAAAAAAAGTCCTTATGACCATTAATCAGTTCTCAATAATAAGCAGTGCTCGACTTGTGGGGGGACATAGGGGGACGGAGTATCCTTTCTAATTTTTAGAAATTTTAGCGTCCCCCTACTATTAATACATTATAATTATAACGCTTAATAAGTTTCGGGGACGCAATTTTTTTTCAAGCAAACAGAGTCCCCCTTCTTTAATTTCTAAGACAGGGAGGAGCAAATTTCACAAAAACTTCAAAATGTTATAAGTTTTGGAACGGTCTACTCCATTTTTTTATTAAAATATTTGTAGGGGCCGCTATTCCATTTTTGTGTGGAAAAACGAAAACTAATTCTAGTTGATAAATACAAAACCGCTAAAATTTGGTAAACTGATGTAAATTTTATTTCATGAAATTTAAAATTAGCTTGTACATATAAGTTTATTACAAAAGATGTTGAAAGTGTCCACCGTTTTGCCTTAAATAAGCACGTCATCTTTCACATACATTATTTCCATTTACTCCTGCTGTCATTATTCTCCGCATTTCAATAGCAGCTTGAAGAATTATTTGCTTCAGAATCGATTTCCAGGTGATAGACTTGTTCTTTGAGGTATCCTTATATTCTTTGAGGATGAAAAAATCCAAAGAAGTTAAGTCTGGAGATCTCGGAAGCCATGGGAATTGTGTCTCCTCTGCTGATCCAAGAAGTAAATGTTTAATTTAAGTGCTGTCTCTCTGCTCTTAAGAAATGTGGTTGGGCCCCATCATGTTGGTAAATTATGTGCCTCCTGACTTCTAAAGGTATGTTCTCAAGCAATCCAGGTAGTTCATTTTGAAGAAAATTTAGGTATGTATTTCCACCCACCGTCCGAGGAAGTTCTAAAAATGGACCAATTAACACACCACCGATGACGCCCATCCATACATTGATCAAAAATCTGCGTTGAAAACGTTGTTGACGTACCAAGCGTAGATTTTCCTGAGTATAATGATGTTTATTATGAACATTAAACACGTCTTCCCTTGTAAGTATACTCTCATTTGTCCAAATATTATTTTGAAGAAAATCAAATTCCTCAACTTCATTATGAAGTAGCCACTACAGAACTGAACACGTTGTTGATGATCTGTGTTCTTTAAACCATGAACTCTTAAAAAATGATATGGGTATATACCTGCTCTATTAATAGTTCTCCAAACAGTCGAATGATGAACACCAAATTGACGAGTAAGAACACGTGTACTAGTTTCTGGATCTCAATTTACTTCATCTAAAATTTCCCTCTCCAAATCTGTATTATGTAAACCTTCCCTTAAAGACCATCTAAAAGTACCTCGCTTTCTCAGAGCTTGGTGTATTCTACTGAACATGGCTAGGGCAGGAACACGCCGACCAGGAAAACGATTTTTGTACTCTCTTTGAGAGGCTCGAGTATATCCATTACACAAACCATAAATAAAATTCAAGTCTGAAGTTCGGCATTTGAATAAGAAAGCATAACGGATAATACAAAAACAAACACTACATAAGAACCTCTTACAAGAAGTGTATTAAAATTTGAACACCATGGTCGACAAATAATAAAACATGTTAATAACATTTCAATGACTATACATTAAATTCGACGACTATACAATAAATTAAGATAATAATAATTACCACCAAAATTTACATATAAATAAAAAGTTATGACAGTTAAATAACAATTCTTGATTGTTATCGAATGCTTTAAATAAACGTAGTAAATCGGCATGATCAGTTTTTACTGTCAGTTTATCATGTATTAATTGCTAAAAATTTATTTTTGTTTTTCCACACACAAGGTGGAATAGTTGCTCTTTCAAATAGGTTAATGAAAAAATGGAGTATACCGTTCCAAAGCTTATAACATTTTGAAGTTTTTGTGAAATGTACACCTCCTGTCTTAGAAATTAATTGTTGTTAAATAAAATTGAAATTTATTAAAATTTCGACAATTTGAAGTTTTAAAAGATTTGTATTATTTCTTTAACCTAAAAAATTAGGTAGGAACCTTGAAATGTATGTTCTCTTAATTTTAGTTTTATGAGCTTTTCAGTGGTGTATTCAAATTTATTTTAGAACTAACGGTTCAGCAAATATGAACATTATTATAAATGAAACTAGCGTTCAATCAAAAAAACACAAAAATCGAAATATCTCCCTTATTATTGAGAACTCGATAATGGTCATAAGGACTTTTTTTGTTGCATCTGAGGTGTTTGATACATTTATCGTGCAACACTCTGTATATTTATAAGTGTAAATTACAAATTATGTTTTTGTCATAAATTGTTAATAGATTACGATTAAAAATGTCAGATAAAATTGTTAAAATTAAAAATTAAACAATCCTATATTTCCTCTAATAATTAGACAATTATTATCTAAACCAGGATATATAGACGTATAAACATATAAACATCGAGACACGAAGTCCAAAACCGGTGACAATCCTAGTTTTTCGGGACGTATGGCAACCTTACCTTGTAATGATCTCGATTTGAGTACAAGATTTTAGAACCTGTGAACAGCATTAACCCAATGGCCAATATATCTCGGCCCATTATGCCATAACAAGTGTACGAGTTCAAAGTCGGACTATGAAAAGTTTAAGGAACAACACAATAATATGTATATCATAGTAAAATGAAAAATACACGGCTTTTGCATTTCGGTAAAATTATTTTGATTTACCCACACTTACCTACTATTTACTCCGAGTACCGAAGTTTCTTAAATAATAAATTATTGTTTCAAGTGCGACAACCACCGGTTCTTGACGAACTATTATGAATATTTAGCTTAAGTTTTTCAAAACTTTAGATAACGAATTTGATGTATACATTCGAAAATTTCCAATGTGTGTTCTAAGTAAAAATTTCGAGCTATTAAAATTAAATATACATAATATAATTAATAACATATTTATATTAAGGTTGAAATCCTTATAGAAAATAAAACAAAAATGATCGTCATGTATAATATTTTTGATGTAGAAATGCAACTGATAAAAATTCTTATGGGCACACAATTTTCGCAGTAAAAAGCATTTGTCCAAACGGTCCAAAACGGTTGAAGTTTATAAACACTAATCAAAACTATCAGCTACATTAAGTGGCGTACATTCAATCTTACTTTGGGGGGGGGGGGGGGTAACAAATTAATCGTTATCTTTTTTTTTTTTTTTGTTGCACAGATAAATAAGATAAATAACTGCTATAAATAGATATTATTTTATACAAATTTTTTGCCGATTTACAGTTTACTTTTACATTACAGTAAATTAATAGCTATTGGAATATAAAAACAGCAAAGTTAACAAAACTTTTCAAACACCTATCAATATAATTATTTAATTATCATAATATTTGTATAGTTGTATATTTTAAGTTCAAAACGTAATAATGAAACTACGAATATATTATACGTCATCAATAATAAAACAATTTTCTTCCTTTTTTTTTTGGCCTTGGAAGGGGTTTGAACTCGGGTCTCCCCTCCCGTATGTACGCCACTGGCTTCACTGATAATTTCATAAGTGGGTATTACTATTAGTGAAAGATTTACTACTAGTTTAATGACGTTGTTTTGACATAAATAATTTTCAAAAGGAGAAATCATTTATTATTGCCCTAGGTTCTATTGAAGCTTAATATTTAGCACAGCATTGATTATGTCAATAATTAAAAATAACAATTTAAAGATTGTTCCTGTACTAACCCATAAATAACCAATATAAACGGACGACGATTTACACTATGATTGAAGGCAATTCTAAGCATTTGTTTTCGACGTCGTCTAAAATGTATCCATATAAGAAAAATTATCAATATAAGCGAATAAATATTTTTAAATCGTATAAAAAAAATTAATACTTTACGGTGGTTTTATTAATTTCAAGTGATTTGTGGTTGGAAAATATATATATTAAGTTGCATCCAACAAAACAATGCGGTGATATTTTCAATAAATAACAATTGATTATACAAAACGTAATCGTTAGGTAGTTGAGTCAATTACATGGTTACCTAAAGCCGTTGAAAAATGCGTCAGTAGTGTTAGTAGCCATATCTTTTTGATATATTTATAATTTATATACGAGAATACAGGCAGGATTGTTTAGCTGCAATTTTGGACTAAATCTACAGCAAAGGTTGGTTATGGATCTAACACTCAAATCGGACAATGACAATCTAAACGCAATTCAAATGGATGATAAAACCGTTCATACAATTGCTTAATTAATATAGATAATCAGAAAATATACGGTGTTTTATTTTTTGAAATTTGATTTAAATATGTGGCTTTATTTCAAAATATTTTTAAAAGAAATTCGTAATAGAACTATGAAAGTCAAAAGAAACATACTATTATTATATGAAAACATCACAAATTATCTATATTTATTTACAGATGGAAACTATTATTTTGTCA